CCGATGAGGGGGTGGTTTTCGTAGATTGCCACATTTCCACTCTTTGACTGATAATTCTAATCCACAAGGCAACGGAGTAACCTCGCTAGATGAGCCTCCATAAAAGCGAGTCACCAATAATGGATTCACAAGTTATTTGTTTCAACAGAATCCTGGAAGCCACGGGCACCAATGTTTTAAAATCAGAGTTTTATAACTCTCTTAGATGGCGGATTGACCATACCTGCCAAACTCGATTTTAACTCTGTCCAGACACTGACTTTTCGTACTATTAATTTTACAAGAAACACACCCACCATGGGAAGGAAGTAATTTGAATTTCTATGGCAGTGACTATACATGAGTGACTACGAGAGCGTTTTGAGAGAGGGCGGACCCTTCCTACTGTCGGCCGTACTAAGACTAACTAATATAGTATCTAACTAATATAGTATCTAAAATATTGGCCTCAATAATACTTCGAAGCTTAACGAAAGCTCGTGAAGAGCAGACTCGAGAAAATCAGTCTGGTTTTCGACCTGGACGTGGCTGTATAGACCACATTTTCACACTACGACAGGTCCTGGAACATGGACATACATTTAGGCGTCCTACAATAGTTGTTTTCCTAGACCTTAAGGCGGCATTTGACTCTGTTGATCGTAAGGTTCTGTGGCAGTGTCTGTCATTGAAAGGTGTACCAAAGAAGTACATTAACCTTATACAAGCTCTTTACTCGAACACCACTGGTCGAGTGAGGGCTTATGGCGAACTGTCACCGGAATTCTCTACATCAAGTGGTGTCCGTCAGGGCTGTCCACTTTCTCCATTCTTGTTTAATTTTATCATAGACATGCTCCTAGAGTTAACATTATCCTCGTCTGAATTTTCAGGAATAGAACTTCTACCAGGTGGCTCGCTTATTGACTTAGAATATGCCGATGACATTGTCCTACTTGGTGAAGACGCTGACAAAATGCAGAGTCTTCTGACTACCCTAAGCAACAATGCAAGCATGTTCGGGATGCGGTTTTCCCCCTCGAAATGCAAAATGTTGCTTCAAGATTGGGTTGCATCGGCACCTGAACTACTGATAGGGAGTGAAGTAGTCGAGCGTGTAGACCGCTTCACTTATCTTGGGAGTCTCATCAGTGCTGATGGCCTGTTGACTGACGAAATCTCAGCACGGATACAGAAGGCTCGATTTGCTTTTGCCAACCTGCGTCACTTATGGCGTAGGCGAGATATCCGTTTGCTGACTAAAGGACGAGTGTACTGCGCAGTAGTTCGCTCCGTCTTACTTTATGGCTGTGAAAAATGGCCAATGAGAGTAGAAGATATTCGTAGGTTACTGGTTTTCGATCATAGGTGTCTTCGAAGCATTGCTCGTATATCGTGGGACACCCGAGTGAGCAACGCTGTTATTAGGAAGCGGGTGCTAGGTAAGAATGGCAGATCAATCGATGAAGTATTGAAACTTCACCAGTTGAGGTGGTTGGGACATGTGTTGCGTATGCCCAACCACCGACTGCCTCGTCGAGCCTTGTTTTGTAGTGTGGGAATAGGTTGGAAGAAAGTTAGGGGCGGCCAAAACAAAACATGGCAGAAATCCATGAAGTCATTGACAAGTGGACTGAGCCATGTCGGTAATTGTCGACTACCTGGTTGGGGTCTACGAGATGATAATAATCGATGGTTAGAGACCTTGAATGACATGGCTCAGAATCGTTCGCAATGGCGCCGGTGCATTTATTCTCTGTGTTCTCTCAAATGCTAATCTTCTGGATTCTTCGACCCCTCTAGTTTCGACTCTCTAAACTTTTCTCACTGAATCATACTTCTTGAATAGTATTTTCTAATCCTAACCTCCGATTATTTCTAATTCCCTTACTACCTCTTCTACTATTGGATTTGAATTGACGATTACTTCTCTGTGCTGATGTGGTATGGCAACATGAACTGATGTACTTATGTACAAAGTTCTACGTTGCATCTGACTGACTGACTGACTAAGACTTTTGAGGGCTGTATTCAGAAAACATTTTAGGTGTCAAATAATGATATGCTCGTCAACCGATATGCTTGAATACTATTACGAGTTCACCTTACTCGGTAAAAAGGAGCGAAGAGCAATGACTCACTGACACGACAGGCTATTCTGATCCGTTTGTCTCCGGCACTGCTAACTAAAGCAAGAAGTTTTGATAAGGCGTAGAAAATGTATTCTACAAGTGCCCAGAAAATACGAGGTTAACAAGCACACAAATCAAGCTTATTTATACGATGATAGAGACGCTCTTGGAAGAGCCACAAAATAGCCCACCAACCAATCATAGTCAAGAATTCCTGAGTGGGGAATGTAAGATGTAGGTCAAGTAAGCGTCTCTTGACGCAAAAAGATACAAATTCAAAATTTCAGAAATAGATTAGAAAATTAGGACCTTTTCAGAATGAGTTCTGAGGATATAACGTCCCCAATAAATAAATTCGCATCTAATGTATTCCATTTCTTAGTTGAGTTGTTTGATCTACAAGTATCAGTTACATTTACAAAACAGATGCACAACTTTTAAGATCTTATACAAAAAGTAAGTTACTGACCATTTTTTCTAATTAGTTTCACAGTTGATTCGATGAAGTAGTGAAAAATCATCAGTTGAGGAGGTTGGGACATGTGTTACGTATGCCTAACCACCGACTGCCTCGACGAGCTGTGATTTGTGGTGTAGGAGTAAGTTGGAGGAAAGTTAGGGGCGGCCAAACCAAAACATGGCACAAATCCATGAAGTCACTGACAAGTGGACTGAGTCATGTTGATAGATGTAGGCTTCCTGGTTGGGGTCTGCGAGACGATTGTCACCAATGGTTAGAGACCTTGAATGACATGGCTGGGAATCGTTCGCAACGGCGCAGGTACATTCACTCTTTGTGTTCTTTCTAATTCTAACCTGAATTCCTCATCATCTCTATCATTCTCTTTCTAAATTTATCTCACTGAATTATACTTTTCGAATCATATCTTCGCTCCCTAATCTTCATTGTTGCTGATACTTCTACTGTCACTATCACTCTTGAATTTGAACTGACAGTCGCGTCTCTGTGCTAATGTGGTACGGCAACCTGAACTGGTGTACTTACATACGAAGTTCTGCGTTGTATCTGTCTGATTCGAAATCCACTTGAACATGTATGAAACTAAACCATATCACCGAAGCCTTGAAAAAGTCAGACTCTACAACCCTGGAGAACCATTAACACCGGATAATTGTAAATTAGAAAACCAAAATGATATTGCAGCAAACAACGTATGTGTAAATTATTGTCTTAGATTCTATATAAACTGACTTATATACCTAAGGAAAATCAGGCACTCAAACAACTGTACCGGTAGATGAACATGTCGGGAATTCATAACGACTTAGTGAATATCATACGACTAAGCGCGGTTCGGGTAACCTTAATGTCATCAGACAATATAGAACATAAAGAAGCGTTCTTCGAAGGTAATGGGTCTATATTGCCTCCGCAAACATGGTTCAGAACTCTTACCATATATTATGGACGAAACAGCTAGGAGTATATGCAAAGATCGGGTAACCTCAATGTTGGTTTCCAATAGTGGAAAAATAGTGGTTGTAGGGTTCACATTGTCGAAATTCCCTTGTATCATGCCAACACAATTATAGACTAAAAACATATTCCCACATTCCCAGCAGACGACTGTACAGCAGTCCTATTCCCTGAATCGAAGGCAGTCGTGATATCAAATAACACAATCGCTGACTTACGATAAATGTGACGGAGTCCAAACACGTGTGCAAGGCAAACATGTGGTCAGCCTATCGACCGTCTTCCACAGGTTCACTCATTTCTAGTCAGTTTATAGAAGTACATATTTCAGGTGAAATTAGTAAAAAATGAAAGGGTCACAATATAGGTTGTCTAGGTTGAGTAACTTGTAACCCTGAAACAATTTATTTCTTGTGGGTAAGAAGTAATCGCCGAAAGTGGGACAGCCTACTTGAAGACACTGACTGACGAGGTGAGTTTCACGCTAATTCGAAATGCTTTACCTACAGTTCGAAGCATATTCAATGTTTAGGATAAATATAGAATATGGATATATAATCCAGTCAGTCAGTCAGTTACACCGTAGAACTATGTACGTACGTACATATCAATTTAAGTTGTCATAACACGATAGCAAAAGAAGTATTAGCAGTAGTCGGAGAGATTAGGGCTCAAAGATATCATTCAAGAAGTATAATCCAGTGAAATAAACTTAAAAAGAGAGAGATAAAACATTCATGAAGAGTTGAGAGAATTAGGATTTGAGAGAAAACAAAGTGTAGATACACCTGCGCCATAGCAAACGATTTTGAGACATGCTATTGCAGGAATCTAACACTCAGGTTACGATTGTATCGTGGACCTACTAATATGACTCAGTCCACTTGTCAGTGACTTCATAGATTTCTGCCATGTTTCGGTGTGACCGCCCCTTGCTTTCTTCCAATCTAATCCTACACCACGAAACAAAGCTCGTCAAGGCAGTCGGTGGTTAGGCATGCGCAACACATGTCTCATCCACTTCAACTGATCAAGATTCACTACTCCATCCACTGATCTGCCATCTCTACCTAGTACCCTTTTATTCTTAACAACACTACTGATTACTCAATGAACCCAAGAGATACGAACGATGCATCGAAGACACCCATGATTGACTATAATAGTAACCTCTACAAATATCCACCAACCATTCTTCTTAAAAATTACCCTTTTCATGGATATTTTCAAACTACAGCATGAGTGTTAACGTCCACGACTCCAGCACAACGCAGTTATTCGAACCCGGGATCTTCGGTATTATGCACGAACGCCTAACCATCGAACCGGCATCCAACATGGATGCGCACTGCTTGCTGATGAGTCCCACCCACATACCAGGACGAAACGGCTGTATTTCAGTGCTTCCAGATTTCTAATGCTAATGTGGTCTAACAACAATGAATGAATGATTGATTTCAAATGTGTAAAAAAACCAATTATATTCTAGCACAATTATTGATTTTTTAGAAAGATATATATCTATCTATATGAAAACAAGACGGAGAAGAAGACGCTAAGCGAGGGGGGGGGGCGGGTGAGTATATAATTGTCACAGAATGCAAACCATGATGAATGTCAATGAAATTAATAAAAATATGACAGTGTATTAATAAAATAATTTTTTCTTGATCATTGATTTATGTATGTGTAATTAAGATTGTAAATATCACGATAATGTTGTTTGGTGGTTGGTTCATGTGTTCATTTTTAAGTTGAAAATGAACATATATGATGATTAAGAAAAAAAGGAGAGAGAGAGTTTAAAATGTGTGTAGTACACTTTCTCTACACCACATCACCCCAACCCATCACCTCTAAGCATGCAAATTATAAAACTACACACACACACATTCACACACAAAATACAGCAAGTATCATGTTATGTTGTAAGCAAACAGCAAGATCAATGCAAAGTGTTACACTGATTGATTGATTAATTGACTGATTGATTGACTGAACCTCCAACCCCTCTTAAAAGACATGAATCAAATTTTTCGGATAATTTAATTTAGCCAATGATGGTAGACAAGCAAATTCAATAAATGGTGGTGGACCACAAATCAGCGTGAGTGTATCCTCTTTCGATGGATAAATATGTTCTTGTAACATTTGTTCATTTACATGACCAGTACTATAGGTCCAACCTATGGATGAATAATGAATACAATAAAAAGGAAAAGGGATTTTTAAATGAATAGTCATGGGGAAGAAGAAGACAAGTGTGTGCGTGTGTAAATCAAAACCTTTAACAGTAACGTTGACTTTTTCATGACAACCATTTACTCATATAAATATAGGTGTTTAAATCTCAATGAGAATACAAGTATACGGATGTGGAGGGAGAGAGAATCCTGTGAGGTGCAGGAGTCGTGGATGAGCACTGCCACTGATGAGTCCCATACCATGACGAAACGGTCGTCTTTCAATGTTTCCAGGTTTCTAATGGTGGTCTAACAATGATTGACTGATTTCAATATGCAACCGATTTTGAGCCATGCCATTGCAGGACTCTAACACTCAGGTTACGATTGTCTCGCGGACCCGAACCTAGCAGTTTAAACCTACCAAACGTAGCTCATTCCACTTGTCAGTGACTTCATGGATTTCTGCCATGTTTTGGTCTGGCCGCCCCTAGTTTTCTTCCAACCTACTCCTACACCACAAAACATAGCTCGACGAGCCAGTAGTCGTTGGTTAGGCATGCGCAACACATGTCCCAACCACTCCAACTGATCAAGATTCACTACTTCATCTATTGATCTGCCATCTTTACTTAGTACCCTTTTATTCTTAATAACACTATTGCTTACTCAATACCCATACCAAGACGAAACGGCCTCTGAGTGCTTCCAGGTTTCTAATGGTGGTCTAACAATGATTGATTGATTATTTCAAATGTGTAAAAACACTGATCTCTGTAACTCTAATTGAAAAAAATCGTACTATGTCTTCACAAGTGACTAGCTTCGTGAGGAAATTCTCGGAGTTTTAGTGAGAAGACGAGACCAATGGAGTTCAACCCTGTCGGGTGTGGGCAGTTACCTACTTAATACATATGCCATCGTTGGATGCCAACCCAGTGGTCCTGGTGTTAAGCGTTCGCACGCAAGACCGAAAGTCCTGGGTTCAAATTCTGCAAGCCGTGGGAATCGTGGACGCGCACTGCTTGTTGATGAGTTCCATACTGGGACGAAACGGCCGTCCAGTGCTTCCAGGTTTCTAGTGGTAGTCTAACAATGATTGATTAATAATTTCAATGAGTAACTTGGCATTATCTTGTCATGAATATGTACGTATAATATACCATTTAACACAATCATAAGCAGAGATAAATGTGAAAGAGTTTATACTTGGTACTAGACTGTAGCTGTTGTATTGATATAGTTGATGGTCAAGCTTGTATTGTCCTATGTATTGCCTGGAACGCTCGTTATATTAAAAATTCCTATACACCAACGGATTAACTCCACCTGTAAACCCTCTGGGACTACTGCCGGTCCCAAGTCCGGATAAAGGAGGCGGGTTGGGATTGGGACTGGCGACCCAATCTCGCAAAAAACTAACTCGCTAAAAAAACGCTAACCAGAAAAAATAATTCAAAGCATATAAACTCTGCCCTGGGAATTAGAAGGTTTTCTTTCAGACGAATTATAACGTCTTATGATGAAAGCCGAGTTCCTTCGGAAGTCATGAAGCAGATGCTCCTTCTGACAACCAGAGCCCTTCCACGGTATGGGCAGCCGGAAAGTAACATACGCCCTTAGAATCAAGTCCTTTATTATGGTGTGGCAACTTGAACTGATCTACGTACGTACGTACGTACGAAGTTCTATGTTGTTGTTGACTGATTGACTGACACCAACGGATTAGGCTGGATAACGAAAGGTAAAACTAGAAGGAGCCATTTAAAATTCGAGAGACAATTTATGCTACTGACTGAATTGCGGTGTATGAAGGTAGTAAGGTGTTTTTTTTTCAAATAACCAATATCTACATCGATGCTGTCTTCCAACAGTTCATCAAACGGCAAACTTAGTCAGGTGATTAGGTAACTTTACAATATTATTTGGTGTTACTTGATTGAAGAAAGTTTATACAGACAGACCCTAGTTTAACATTCATTGTCAGCCTGCAAACTAATCAGAAAACCATGTTCACGTGTCACTACACTTTTGCAAATATATATATACACAGCTGTTTGAAAACAATAACAATTTCCTTGCTATAATCGAATATTTCATTCAAAGTACAACTAATGTACTGTGTTACAGCGTTTCATTCATTCATTGAAACTGAAAAAAAAACAAACATGATTTTAGTCATGATTTGAACTATAAACCTATACCAATGAAACTAAGCAGGCTATTGACATTTTTTATGGTTAGTTTCTTTTAGCATGGTTGTTGTCTACGCGATCGGATTTCTAAACCTATGCTCAACTCTCCCTCCTATATCCAAGCTTGGGACTGACAATAACCCTAAAAGGGTTCCATATGGTGAATGGCCCGACCGTAGCTGCTACCTTGACGTGGTGGTCGGGCTTGCCTATCGTTATGATCCAGCCGAGCTATATTGGCTGGAACATATCTTCCTGAAGGTTCTACCATGCCAGGCAGGTCGATTGCAGAACGATGAGACTAAAAGCAGCTACTCAAGGTCTCAGGGCGAAGTCGTACTGCTGACTGCTAAGGAGTGTGACAGCAGTAAGGTGTTTCCTCCAAACAACCAGCATCTGCAGCGACGCTGCCTTCTCACAAAGAAGGAAGGGTTAGAAAAGGTCTACCCTAAAAATGTCACACCTCACCATACCTCACAGATTTCCGTCTCCTTCGGTAAGGGTGCCCACTAAGAGCTTTTAAAAAGAGCGGAGCTAATCCTCAAAAAACCTTTCATAAAAATGCCGTGCGTGACCGGCCTCAAGCAGTTGTCCCTTGGACTATGCGGTCACGCACCCAGGTCTCCAAGACCGACACTAATCTATCTTCCTTTTCAGGTCCCTCAAGAAACAACCTTCCACGGTGTGGGCACCCGAGAAGTGACAACCGCCCTCATACCACCCGTAACACAGCACACGAGACCAAATTGGTCGAAATCAAATCCTTCCTACACCCACACACATACCACCTCTCTTCTCTCCACAACTAACTCTACTCACATTCTCTTATCCTCACTGCACCGCTAATGTAAACGATGCGAGTTCACTAAACATGACTGACTGATTGACATGATGAATGGAATAATAGATGAACAAAGATAGATAGATATATATACATAACTTACGTTCAGGTGCTTCATTCACTGTATACCAAAGACGAAAATGATTAGGATATTTATCTCTGAAGCTTTCTAATTCATCACGTAAAATGATATCTTTTTCAGTCTGAAATATTTGATAATTATTATTAGAAGAAAAAAGAAAAAAATAATATTACATTATAAAATGAATGATCAGTTTGAATGAGGAAGGAAACGTAAACTTATTCACGTTTCTGTTTTTTCAAAAAAAAAAATTGGTCTACAAGAATAACCGATAATAATAATAATAATAATAATAAAGGGCTCCTCTAGCCATGGTTAGTCAGTCAGTTGCAACGTAGAACTTCGTACGTCTAGGTACATAAATTCGTGTTGCCATACCACCAAATTAGCACAGACATGCAAATGTCAAATCGAATCCCATAGTGATAAAGATAGTAGAGGTATTAATGGCAATCAAGAAGACTAGGGTTTGAAGATATTATTCAAGAAGTATAATTCAGTGAGATAAGTTAAGAAAGACAAAGGTAGAGGGGCTGACGAATCCAGAAAAGCTCCAAGAATAGATGCACTTGCGCCATTGCAAACGATTTTGAGCCATGTCGTTCAAGGTCTCTTACCATTGGTGACTTTTGTCTCGCGGACCCAAAACCAGGTAGTCTACATCTGCCAACATAAGTCAGTCCACTTGTCAGTGACTTCATGGATTTGGTTTGGCCAACCCTAACTTTCTTTCAACCTATTCCTACACCACAAAACATAGCTCGTCGAGGCAGTCGCTGGTTAGGCATACGTAACACATGTCCCAACCACCTCAACTAATGAAGTTTCACCACTTCATCTATTGATCTACCATCCTTACCTAGTACTCGTTTCCTAACAACAGCTTTGCTTACTCGCTTGTCTTAAGATACACGAGCAATGCTTCTAAGACATCTGTGATAGAATACTAGTAACCTACGAATGTCCTCTACTCTTTCCGGCCATGTTTCGCATCCATATAGGAGAACGGAGCGAACTGGTGCGCAGTACACCCGTCCTTTGTTTAGCGAATGGATATCTCGCCTATGCCATAAACAGTGTAAATTGGCAAAAGCAAATCGAGCTTTCTGTATCCGAGCTGAGATTTCGTCTAGCCATGGATCAAACACGTAATCATTTACTTCATCTACCAATAATGCTGTCTTCATGTTCCTGTCTCTCTTATCTGACTTACTCATAAGTGAACGAGGATTGAATGTCGGAGAATGGTGATGACTAAGCAAACGGGTGCTAGGTAAGGATGACAGGTCATTTGATAAAGTAGTGAAACTTCATCAGTTGAGGTGGTTGCAACATGTGTTACGTATTTTGAGATGGTGGAGAAGATTTGTAGCTCAGGTGGATGATTGAGGTGGTGGTGTTTGGTTCTCTGAGCACAAACTTCAGATAGAAGAAGTGAAGCATTCGAATTTCTCCACGTTTCACCTGTAGCTTGTCTGCGTGAATATCAATTAGCAGTCAAACGCCACCACAACGCTTCGCTTATATCAATACACACCGACGATTATGGACACATTTGATTGGAACAATGTGGAAATACCGGGTAGGGGGAGGACAAAGAACAGTAGAGAGTTTTTAGAAGCTTGGCACTCAGGTCAATTAGCAATCAACAAACACATCGACATTGACCCAATTTATCAACCAATCAGGAAAATCATAGGTGACACAGGATCAAGAAACAGATCAAAAGGGGAAGGCAATCAAAACAAAGCTGCAAACAACGACAGGTCAAAAGTCAACAGCAACCAATCAAGATCGAGGTTAGCAGCAGAACAAGCTACAGGTCAAACGTGGAGAAATTCGAATGCTTCACTTCTATCTGAAGTTTGTGCTGCTGACGATGTTGTTCAGAAGAACAATGAAAGCTCCACAACCAAAACATCCAGCTCAGAGAACCAAACACCACCACCATAATGTGTTACGTATGCCTGACCACCGACTACCTCGTCGGGCTACGTTTCGTGATGCAGGAATAGGTGGGAAGAAAGTTAGGGGAGCCAGAGCAAAACATGGCAGAAATCATAGGTGTCTTCAAAGCATTGCTCGTGTATCATGGGACAACCGAGTTAGCAATGCTGTTGTTGGGAAACGGGTGCTAGGTAAGGATCGCAGGTCAAGAGATGAAATATTGAAACTTCATCAGTTGAGGTGGTTGGGACATGTGCTGCGTATGCCTAACCACCGACCACCTCGACGAGCTTTGTTTGGTGGTGTAGGAGTGAGTTGGAAGAACGCTAGGGGCGGCCAAACCAAAACATGGCAGAAATTCCATGAAGTCACTGACAAGTGGACTGAGTCATGTTGGTAGATGTAGGCTACGTGGTTGGGGGGTTGGCGAGAGGATAATAATCGATGGTTAGAGACCTTCAATGACATGGCTCAAAATCGTTCGCAATGGCACCGGTGCATTTATTCTTTGTGTTCTCTCAAATCCTAATCTTCTGGATTTTTCAACACCTCTAGTTTCGACTCTCTAAACTTATCTCACTGAATCATACTTCTTCAATAATATCTTCTAATCCTAACCTCTCTCCGATTACTTCTAATACCTTTACTACCTCTGCTACTACTATTGGATTTGAATTGACAATTACATCTGTATGTGCTGATGTGGTGGTATGTCAACATGAACTGATGTACTTACGTACGAAGTTCTACATTGCATCTGACTGACTGACTGACTGACACACACACATCAATGAAAAAAAAAAGATTCAAACTATCAATACAACTAATAACTATTAAATTTAATAAAGAAAAATCCACATACCAGATTAGCAAAAATCATTGCAATTTGTGTTGTATCATTTTTAGATTGTAGTATGTGGGATAATAATTGAAACATTGGTGTAATACCAGATCCACCACAAATCATATTGACACGTTTCACTTTGACAGGATTTGGTGGACTACGTAAATCCGATTTAATATGGAATAAACCTTTAGAAAATTTAGAAAAAAAAACAAAAGAGAAAAGAGCAAATGATTAAAAGGGAAAAGAATATTAGAGTGATGAAGGGTAACTGGATTGACGAAATTCGGTCAGCTCTAAAATAACTAGGGGAATAGGATCAGTTAATTGTGGATGTTGTAAGGCTGTAATAGGTTAATCACTGCCCGAATAACTCCATGGTCATAATATCTGAAGCTGCAAAGCTATGTGACGCCAGTTCATATCCACTAAGCATTGTCAGTCCCCTTAAAACAACTACAACTACACATTGCACAAGTGTCAAATGGTGAGAAAATTAGGCCTAAAGTTTCTTGTCAACTGCCTCCACCTGTAGCTGCTACCTTGACGTGGTGGTCAGGTGAGCTTGCCTATCGTGATGACCCAACCGAGCTATACTAGCTGGAACATATGTTCCTGCAGGTCCTACCATGTCAGGCAGGTCGATTGCAGAACGATGAGACTAAAATCAGCTACCCAAGGTCTCAGGGCGAAGTCGTACTCCTGATTGCAGAAGGGTGTGACAGCAGTAAGGTGTTTCCCTCGGACAACCAGCATCTGCAGCGATGCTGTCTTCTCACAAAGAAGGAAGGGTTAGAAAAGGTCGACCCTTCCTACACCCACACATACCTCTCTTCTCTCCACAACTAACTCTTCTCACATTCCGTTATCTGACTGCACCGCTAATGCAAACGATGCGAGTTCACGAAACGTCATTCCTGGTCTCTTGAAACCTCGTTCTAGTCTACATGTTGGAGCATTTAATGTACGGACATTGTGTCAAATAGGGCAACAGGCATCATTAGCTAGGACTCTAGAATCTCATGCCATCGATGTGTGCTGCGTCTCGGAAACGCGCATACAAGATCCTAGTAAAGTCATTAACCTGATTTCATCTGCCTCTAACCAGTTGACATAGTGTCTATTCATTTATTTCTTCAAAGTAGTCATATGTATAAACTGAGTGGGATCTTTTTGTTTAGCTACTGCCAAGATAAACAGTACGTAAACCAGTTTACATAAGGTTATATCAATCATATTCCCAATAAAGTAAGTCACCTCATAAACAGTAGTTAAGATATTATATTTAGTATGAAGTTTTTTGGTTGGAGAAAACTGATGGGCGACCTATGCCCCATTGGGGGGGTAACAGGCGTAAGTAAGTAAGTAAGTAAGTAAGTAAGTAAGTAAGTAAGTAAGTAAGTAAGTAAGTAAGTAAGTAAGTAAGTAAGTAAGTAAGTAAGTAAGTAAGTAAGTAAGTAAGTAAGTAAGTAAGTAAGTAAGTAAGTAAGTAAGTAAGTAAGTAAGTAAGTAAGTAAGTAAGTAAGTAAGTAAGTAAGTAAGTAAGTAAGTAAGTAAGTAAGTAAGTAAGTAAGTAAGTAAGTAAGTAAGTAAGTAAGTAAGTAAGTAAGTAAGTAAGTAAGTAAGTAAGTAAGTAAGTAAGTAAGTAAGTAAGTAAGTAAGTAAGTAAGTAAGTAAGTAAGTAAGTAAGTAAGTAAGTAAGTAAGTAAGTAAGTAAGTAAGTAAGTAAGTAAGTAAGTAAGTAAGTAAGTAAGTAAGTAAGTAAGTAAGTAAGTAAGTAAGTAAGTAAGTAAGTAAGTAAGTAAGTAAGTAAGTAAGTAAGTAAGTAAGTAAGTAAGTAAGTAAGTAAGTAAGTAAGTAAGTAAGTAAGTAAGTAAGTAAGTAAGTAAGTAAGTAAGTAAGTAAGTAAGTAAGTAAGTAAGTAAGTAAGTAAGTAAGTAAGTAAGTAAGTAAGTAAGTAAGTAAGTAAGTAAGTAAGTAAGTAAGTAAGTAAGTAAGTAAGTAAGTAAGTAAGTAAGTAAGTAAGTAAGTAAGTAAGTAAGTAAGTAAGTAAGTAAGTAAGTAAGTAAGTAAGTAAGTAAGTAAGTAAGTAAGTAAGTAAGTAAGTAAGTAAGTAAGTAAGTAAGTAAGTAAGTAAGTAAGTAAGTAAGTAAGTAAGTAAGTAAGTAAGTAAGTAAGTAAGTAAGTAAGTAAGTAAGTAAGTAAGTAAGTAAGTAAGTAAGTAAGTAAGTAAGTAAGTAAGTAAGTAAGTAAGTAAGTAAGTAAGTAAGTAAGTAAGTAAGTAAGTAAGTAAGTAAGTAAGTAAGTAAGTAAGTAAGTAAGTAAGTAAGTAAGTAAGTAAGTAAGTAAGTAAGTAAGTAAGTAAGTAAGTAAGTAAGTAAGTAAGTAAGTAAGTAAGTAAGTAAGTAAGTAAGTAAGTAAGTAAGTAAGTAAGTAAGTAAGTAAGTAAGTAAGTAAGTAAGTAAGTAAGTAAGTAAGTAAGTAAGTAAGTAAGTAAGTAAGTAAGTAAGTAAGTAAGTAAGTAAGTAAGTAAGTAAGTAAGTAAGTAAGTAAGTAAGTAAGTAAGTAAGTAAGTAAGTAAGTAAGTAAGTAAGTAAGTAAGTAAGTAAGTAAGTAAGTAAGTAAGTAAGTAAGTAAGTAAGTAAGTAAGTAAGTAAGTAAGTAAGTAAGTAAGTAAGTAAGTAAGTAAGTAAGTAAGTAATGAAGAGAAACCGAATAATAACAAAGAACTGGTTACTTATCGATTGAAATTGGGATCTTAACAATTATCAAATGTTTACAATTAATTACTAAAACATAAAATGAGTGTGGTCGATTGTGGGCATAATTACCTGAGTTCTCTAACCACTAGTTTATACGTACGTATGCCCAACTGCCAGCTGCCTCAACGAGTGATGTTTTGTGCTGTAGGAGTAGGCTGAAAGGAAGCAAGGGGCGGCCAAATCAAAATCACGGCACAAATCCATGAAGTCATTGACAATTGAACTGATCCATGTTAGTAGATGCAGGCTAGTTGGTTGGGGTCCGTGAAACGATAGCAACCGATGGTTAGAGACCTTGAATGACATCGCTCAAAATCGTTTGCAATGGCGCAGGTGCATTCATTTTTTGTGTTCTCTCAAAACCTAGTCTTCAGAATTCCTCATCACTTTTATATTTCTCGGTTTATTTCACTAGGTTTTCCTTTTTGAATAATATCTTCGAACCCTAATCTTGTCCGTTACCGATTATACTTTTACTACCTCTACAACTGTGTGATTTGAACTGACAGTTGCATCTCTGTGCTAATGCGGTATGTATACCTGGAATTATGCACGTACGTACGAACCTCTACGTTGTAACTGACCAACTGACTGACTAATTTATACTAACCTCATGCCAACATCCCATACATGAGGTTCGCGCCCTTGTACATGATATATAGATTGTATAGGTTGGCCGTACATATTTTTCTGACCATCCCTAACTACTTTTTCAATGCTACTCAAATTCGGATCACCATACATATCATACCATCAATGGAATTGATTGTGTCATTTTCAGGTCACAGAATATGACTATGAGAGGGTTGATAAGCACACCTGAATTTCTAACTCACATGAAGAACAAATATTTAATGAGTATAAACACAATCAAGTCTGCGGATCTAACAGATTGCTTCAAGTTCTACCTGTGGCTGCCAACTATCATATCTTTGTTGCTTCAGTTATCCAACACCGTTTTACTAATTCCTGGGATTATGATCTGCCACTTAACTGTTAAAAAGAAATTTTTTGAGACTTGAAAAAGCGCATACTGTGTAACTTTTCTATGTTTAATAGTATATGACCTTGGATTCTAAAGCTCATTGATAACAATTTTTTAAAGGTGATTTTGTGATTAAGTTCAACATGAAAATAGTAGTGACATGGTTATATAAACTTTTAATAAAAGTTCTTTTAGGTTATTGAAAATTTTTAGTAACCTAAAAGTACTTTTTCTTAGTCGATATGTGTTGAAAACTCTGTCATTTCTTCTACATTTTTGAATATAGTGTGAGGCATTAAAACTAATCCATTTTTAACAACATTCTGTTTGACAGAATAAATTATTAAACAGGTATCCCAGTTTCAGTCAGTCCAGTCAGCTACAAGGTAGAACTTCGTACGTACGTACGTAAGTACATCAGTACACGTTGCCATACCAGATTAGTACAAAGACACAATTGTCAGTTCAAATCCCATAGTGGTAGAGATAGCAGAAGTATTAATGGTTATGGAGAGGATTAGCGATCGACGATATTATTCAAGTATAATTCACCTTGATGCGGTTTTCCGCCTCCAAATGCAGAATGTTGCTTCAACATTGGCTTGCATCGGTACCTGAACTAGTGATAAGGAGTGAAGTAGTCAAACGCATGGACCGCTTCACTTATATCGGGAGTTTCATCAGTGCCGACGGCCTGGTGACTAACGAAATCTCCGCACAAATACAAAAGGCTCGATTGGCTTTTGTCAACCTGCATCACGTATGACGAAGACGAGTTATCCGTTTTCTAGCAAAAGGACAAGTGTATTGTACATCAGGTCGATCCCTCCTACTTTGTGACTGTGAAACATGGCCAGTCAGAGTTGAAGATATTCGTAGGTTGCTTGTCTTCGATCATAGGTGTCTCCAAAGCATCGCTCGTGTATCATGGGACAACCTTATAAGCAATGCTGTCGTTAGGAAACCAGTACTACGCAAGGATGGCAGATCAATAGATGAAGTAGTGAAACTTCATCAGTTGAGATGGGTGCAACATGTGCTGCGTATGCCTAACCACCGACTGCCTCGACGAGCTTTGTTTCGTAGTGTAGGAGTAGGTTGGAAGAAAGTTAGGGGCTGCCAAACCAAAACACGGAACAAATCCATGAAGTCATTGACCAGTGGACTTAGCCATTTTGGTAGTTGTCGACTTCCTCGTTGGGGTCCGCGAGATGATAATAATCGATGGTTAGATACCCTGAATGACATGGCTCAAAACCGTTTGCAATGGCACCGATGCATTTATGCTTTGTGTTCTCTCAAATCCTAATCTTCTGGATTCTTCAACACCTACAGTTTTGACTCTCTTAACTTATCTCACTGAATCATACTTCTTGAATGATATCTTCTGATCCCAACCTCTCCGATTACTTCTAATACCTTTACTACCTCTTCTACTATTGGATTTGAATTGACAATTATATCTTTGTGTTGATGTGGTATGGCAACTCGAACTGCTGTACTTAAGTGCAAAGTTCCACGTTACTTTTGATGATGATAATTCAGCTTTTAAAGTAAAAATATTTACACAATGATGACATAAATAAAATGAATCAAAACAATTTCAGTAATAATAGAAAATAATCATAAAATAAAAATAAAAACACTAGAACATACCGCATCCTTTGTATTCTAATTTTCCAGCTGGACCACGAACATCAATAAATCCATTGATAGGAAGATTGGCCACATATTGTGACATAACTCCACCTTTGGGAAATTTAACATTTCCTTTATAAACCTAAAGAAAGATAAGAACGTTATTTGAGTTGAGTCGAAAATAATAATTGACAGTCTATAAAAGACAAATAATTTTCGTCAAAACAACAGCTGAAGATTTATTGGACGTCATTGAAGTGATTCGGTCTGTAGAAGTTCGACCATACAAAGAATACGTGTGAGTAATGTTATTCAGCTTATGAAATCTGAACTTGATTTCTCACTACATATTTTGACAACATATTACCAGTCAAATGACCTCTTATAGTTATGACAACATCATGGTATAAAGTCATTTTCTAACATGAAGGCATAAGAACAAAATCAACTGTCCAACTCCAAATCATCATTAAGATACTGTTTAATAGAAAAGAAACAGGTGATAATAAGGCATCTGATAGATAAATAATAAAATAAAACGAATATGTATTGACTTCAGCTGCTGCAGTGAATATCAGAACAACATAAAAAGAAAGATTAACAGATGAGATTAGATCACATCCATTTCAGTTGAAAGATCGGTAGAAAAAAACATAACTCCATAGGAACTAGTGAGATAAGTAAATTAAATGCATTAAGTAATATCATCCTAAACAATCTTTGAATATGTACAATTAATGAAAAAGGGGTAATCGTAACAGTTTTAGGGAAATGGTGAAGTATAGCTAAGTTTTCTTTGTAAAATCAAGGTTAGTACTTCGTTTTCAAAAAAACCATTTATTAGATAGCGCATAAAAGAACAATTAGATGCATTGTGAAAAATAAAGCTACAATAATTGAACTAGAATATGAAGACTTACTTTTATGACGAAGTCAACATATCCTTTTTGAGCATCTAATGTAATTGGGGTGTAAGGTCGGACGACTACGTTACCATCAATTTTTGCAGTGAAGTATATATGATTACCTAATACGAATGGAAATTATTTAGTATAGATAACTTTACCAACTGGTAATCCAAGAACATGGTCAGCTGAAGGAAGACCTAGTTTTAGGCGGATTGTATCATGAGTGACAAACTAATTTATGTGGCTTAGAAAAAGGTAATCCTACACTTCTATCCACTACTCGTAAAGGAATTTTTGTATCATTATCCACAAGGGTTTTCTTCGGCTTTTTAGGTTTGAGTATTAATCCTAATACAACACCTGACACAGCAACAACTGCTGTTACTGAAGCAACAACAGCAATCTGAAGAAGAAATAAATATCACAATAATTAAATACTAACAATAGCCGTCGTGTTTTGTGACATATCTTCAGACATAAACCAACGGACAACGAGATTCGAAAACTAGGTGACCTCTAGTACTCAATAGACAATTTCTATGTCGCGAGCTAGTATCAATATCCAATATCTTTTTCACGAGCTAGTATGAACTCATTCATTTCTTTGCATTCTATTCTTTTTCTTTCTGTGCGGTTCCAGGTGTGTGATAGTGTCCAATGGATGGGAGTCTAGCAACTCATCAACATCAATTCTAATCAGTTGTTTGTAAGTCACTATTTATCAGGATTTGAAACGTATGATTGTCACACAGCAGTAGGGTTTTGCAATATTGGTATCACACTACCTAGCCTTAGGTAAATTATTTGAAATGAAGAGAAAAATAAATACAAAAATCTAATGCAAATAAGATTTCAGAACCAAAGTAAAGAAATAGACAAATAAATTAATTAATTGGTAGTGAAGATAAAGTGAGAACACCAAGGTGAAAGCGAGGGAAAAAACAGGGTTAACAAGCGAGATATATTAGGTTATTGATCTTAATGGCAACGACAACAACTAACAAGTTTCGAAACATGGATCAGATACAGTTGCTTTGAGAGGGAAATGACGCTCTGAGGAGACATTTGGTAGCTGACATCTATTGAGGATGTAAGTTGTTTGTGTCACGTGATGTAGAATGTTCATGACGTGACATTTCGACATGCTGAGTTTTAACCGGTTTTCTACTGCCCATTCCTCAGTTGTTGTAAGGTCCTTTATGTTCCTTAGTCTCCTTTGCCGACGATTTAGTTTTTAAGTTTGGTTAACACTTACCCTTATCATTTGATTATGTTGTTGTCTGTCGCAGGTCCGTACATAATAAGTCCATATTTGATTGAATGCAACGTTACGGAATAATTCTTCCGATAATTGTTGACTTTTGCCTATTTGCTGGATCCACAAGCCTTCATTCTCGAAGTAAGATATGTAGTTCTAACCTGTTGAGGATTTTCCAGTACATTCACAGGTACGAAACAACTATCGATTAACCACTTTTTTAGCTTTTAGTATGCTGTTTTGAGCTACAGTAACGTTGGACTGTAGAGTACAGACTGTACTTTTTGAGGTGTTTTGTAATTTCGATACAATCGATTTTTTCTTAAAACAGGATATTATAAATCGAGCACAGAATCTTTATTTTGATGTACTGTCAAACGAAACACTCTAAGAAAATTTGTGCAACATACAGAGCAACATAGTTTGACTTAACCCTAAAAAAACCTATATTGTTAGCATCACGTTCGAACTGTAGTGTGCATACAAGTATGTTGAGCCCACATTGAGTGTCCTAGCTTTTGAGTAAAATAATTAAAAAACTTTTCACCCGAATCGCTACTCACACGTCAATTAACATTGTCAATTATTCATTGAAAATCTTGACTGTTTTGACTTCAGAGCGTGTGTGCAGTATTTGCTTCACTTATCACATATCTAGCCTATTTTTGTCTGACTACAAGTGCTTGGTCATACCTCATTGTTTTGCGTTGGCTAATTCGTCCTCTCCGTTTGCCTTCTCATTCTATTGCTTGTTTGCTTACGCAATAGTATGAAATAAATTCATCTCAGTGAATCCGTACTTAAATTCTTATTAACGCCTTTACGTAAACGGAGTTCGCATAGGGATGATATATTGAAATTAGATGAAAGATTTGTTTCACAGAATATTCAAACGTTCGTCCGAACGAGAGTCAGACCTGGAGCAAAAATATCAAATTTGGTAATTTGGTTGTTACAGTAAGAACTAAATTTATGTTAGGAAAAAATAAGAAAAGAATTGTAAAATGTGCCACGAGATCTTAACTCAATAGTTGTTTTAGCAATGCATCGCAAGATGTTGTATCTCTTTCTATTGTGCTACTTTACTTTCTTCGGTCGTTTTACTCGAGGTCAGAGGCATATATGACCAAACGTTTTATAACTAGACGTCATTTTATTTTATTTGTATCTTTGCACTGTATTTCTTAGCCTCATAGACTTAGTGCCTTAGGAATATCGAACTTACTCCTTCTCCTACATAATTCGCTTATATCGAGTTAAGTTTGAATAGATGCTGTCCATATGGTAAAATTCTTAATTGTAATTAGCTCCCAAGCCATGTCACGTACATAGAAAAAACAATTCATTTTACTTGTTGCAACACCTGTAAAATATCTAAATCCTCTACTAAAGCGGATAAAATAGAACTTTGGAAGAACGGTGATCAATCCTGATCGTACTCTAACCTTCCTATAGGCACAATAAATTTGTGCCATGGACTTAAGCACCACCTCTCATTACCTTGTATCCGGCTTATGGATATAGATTCAGACACCCGCAAACTGATCCACTCAACACTAGTCATTGCTTCTGAAACAGACACTTGCGAGCGCCTACAACAGAGTGTGGCTGATCCTAGACACTTACTTACCAAGCCTACAAGAGGATACACTTTATAGAAACCCACAGATTGTCGGAAAGTCTCTGAGCAATAGAAAATCCAGTGATACAGATCTGGATTATTCACTCAAAGATATATTCATTACTTTAGTTGAGAATACTCAGAATGATCGACCACTAACTATTTGTAACAAGTCTGAATACAACTACATCAACCCCAGCAACTTTGAATTAAACGCCGATGCTTTCATCGATGTTCATTTAGGAAACTTCTCAGTAAACTAAACGCTAACCAAACTACCTGTGATTCGCTAACATACAAATACGTGCTCAACATTCCTAAAATCCCTGATCACGAAATTGGAAGAAAACCGAAATGATAAGTGACTGTGCGCATAATGTAATTGTAACTCCACCTGAAGACCCTCTGGGACTACTGCCAGACCCAAAGCTGGAGGACGGGGTTGAGCATGGGTTTAGCGGAACGCTTGTAAAACGCTAACCAGAAATAACAATTCAAACATTTCAGTTCCGCCATGGGGGTCATAAGGTCTTCCTTCAAAAGGATAATTATGTCTCACGATTAAAGCTGATTTCGTTCCGAAGTCTTGAGGCCAATGCTTCTTCTGACAACAAGAGCAACCATCTCCTTAGAAACGTAAAATATTTGAACAACGCGGAGGACTGGAAGACTTTTCCGAATTGATGCCGACATGAGAATACAACATGAAGGAGCTTAATAATAATAATAATAATAATAATAATAATAATAACAAATATTTATTCTCAAATAACTACGTTACAAGAGTCGCGCCAGTTTACAGGCTAGATCAAATTATCACAAATGTTTTCACAATTACTGTAAAGTTATAGCAGTTAAATTAAGTGTAAGAGGCAGTTTCTGATAGCATATTCACACCATGTCACTGACAGAAACAGTACAATACAGCCGCATTTTCAATAGTAGAGTACAAATAAAGAAGGTGCACAATAGGTTCTTTTGGCGATTTGCCGAGAACAATAGTGAATTGGTTGAGAAAGGACATATGGAACGCGCTTGATACGAGCTGTGATCCAGAAAGTCATGTACATAGGGTGCATGTTCCCCAGAGTCACCAAGAATTTCCCACCGTGAATGGGGGTCTGAAAAGGAAAACAGAGAGAGAAGAAGGAAGCAGTGTGGCAAGTGTATATATATAACCAAAGCACTACTTAACCTGTAATGTTGAAGTAGTCAATACAGTTGTAAGTCAAGAAAAAATTCATGCTGACCACTTAAATTAAATTAAATTATGGGAATATAAGAATATAACCCACACATAAAGGAGTACAGCAAAAAGAAGGAAAAGTTGTACAGTGTTGGGTGGATAGAAGAGAAGTCGAAGTAGGAAGCTGGATTTATGTACGTTGAAATGGAAAGAGTAGAGTTTGTAAAAAGAAAACTTTGATGAATAAAATCTCGCACTGTCTAACTGTTTTTTTATTATTATTATTATTGAATGCCAACCTCTAAGTCATACTGTAAGCGCCTGAGTAAGAATGTTGAGGGTGTCTCGACAGAATAGCGACCTCAGCATAGTTTTGTAAACATGAACCACAGATGTAGCAAGCGTACAAGAGCAACCTCAGTGTTACTGATTAGTCGTCTCATCAATCTAAAGAGCCGAAAGCAAACAAAATGTTCTGCCCCACAAACATGGATGGTTTGAAGTCATCGCTCACACCATCAACGTTTGCTGGTCAGTAAATACGCCCTCCCTCCTTTTGTGTTGTTAGGCTCTTTTTAAATAATTAAAAGAAACTATTGAATTCTACTTGGTGCTCTATGTCTCACATCCTGTTGAGAAACACTATTTCTGCATGTTTCTTTCATAAACTTGTCTGGCTGTTACAACTCATGAACTATTGGTCAGGCATCAATGCTATACAGTAAACAGTTATGGAGAAATAGTACGGATTTTCAAACAAGATATAAGGATTTAGAATGTAAAGGGGGGGATGTACTTAAATAGCTAAGCAGGAGATATAAAGAGTGTCACGGTTAAAAGTTGAGCAATAGATAACACTAAGGGATCAAGGTAAGTCAATAACGTGCAAGTGAGAACAGTATAATTTATAACAGGCAATGTGAAACTCACACAGTTATTAGTGTTGATAAGGTTGTGCCCAGGATAGTAGAGTGCATTCTAATCAACCAATTTGCAGTTGAACAGTGTCGACTGACTCAGTGAGTAGAGTAACCTGTCTATTTTGAATAAAAACTAAAGAGATTTATATTCAACTAGAAAAATTTAATGCTACTTGGAAAGGTAAAAACAACTAAATAAGACGCAGCACTGAGTTCATTGTGTTTAAAGTGTATGCAGAGCTATTAATATGAAAGCAGGGTGCGAGTGCAGAAGAGTCATCGCAACTGAGAGCATCATTAAGAAGTTGAACAAACTCATGTAACCCACTTGCCATGCGTATTTTTTAGGGAAGCCTATTTCATATAAGTGCATACTTAGAGAGGAAGAAGTTTTCTCGAGTTTTGGATCTATACTTCTCAAGTTTGACCGTAGATACTTTATCTCGAAGCTTATGTGTACATTGGCAACGGATAAGGATTAAACTGCAGGAGGAATATGTGAGCTTGTGCAGGAGTTTAAATTGATGGATCAGATTGGACTTAAGCCTTCTTTTCCATAATCGATCAAGCCCAAATTCAATACATCGGGTTGGATAGTCAATGAGTGAGCTATGATTTAGGACTTTCCGAGTAAATTTCCTTTGTATTTCTTCAAGCTTCAACATATCAGACAGGCGTAGGTTAGAAAATAAGAAAGAGCAGTATTCAGCAATAGGTCTTAGGCATGTTTTGTAGAGAATTGTCCTGGATTCTCTATGAAAGAAGTTACGAAAGATGAAACCAAGCATTCTTCTCATTCGGGAAACTTTATTGGAGATATGCGTAGAATCTTTTTTGAATGTTTTGTGTTTTGGAAAATCCCTCCATGTTTACATATTTTTGTTATGACATGACGGACTTTTTCTGTTGACATTTTGGTATTTTATTTGATTCCAATTTGAGATTTTATCATTGTATATTGTTATTATTTCTATATTTTGTACTTATATTGAAGTTTTTATGTTTGCTTCTGAACTGTATATATGTTGTTTAAATTTGATCTTTAATATGGCTACAGCCATATTTGGATTGATACTGTGGCGGTTGGATCTAACATCACTTATTCCTTTTAAACTGGGATACTCCTCAGAGTAATTGTGACTTGGAAAGTGCATCAAAAGTCAGGTATTGATTTGTATTTCCATTTTTAACATAATATAGACCGCTTTCTCCTAGAATTATTGTGTTTTTGACATTGGGTTGGGAGATAGCGCGTTCGATTTGCACTTACTGGAAACAATTTGAACTGCTACGGTAGAAAATCCATCTACAATATTTTCGGAGAAGTTAAGGCTATGCGAATAATATTATTCATTCTCACTCAACGAAATTGCATCGATGGAGAGAACACTTTTGGGATCAGTGTAATTGGCCTTCAGCTCAACTTCTCCACCATATCCGATCAACCAGAATGGTATATCGACATAAGTCCTCCAACTCTTTATAAAGTTGAGAAAACGATAGGAAATCTGAGGCAAGGGAGAGCAACGGGTCATGTTAGGCTAACTCCTAAGATTTTTAAGGATAGTTTGTCCAGTTCTGGCATCAAGATTGATTGGGATCTTATGTATAATCTGGGAACTAAGCGTAGTCGCATCTCACTGGTCTCAATCATCGATTGTCCTATTGTGACAATCACAGGGGAATCAGCTTAACTAATATAGTTTCTAAGTCGTTAGCCTCGATTATACTTCGACTCCTAACTAGAGCTCGCGAAGGACAAACTCAAAAAACCAGGCCGGTTTGAGGCCTGGACGTGTCTGTATAGACCAAATATTCACACTACGACAGATCTTGGAACACAGACACACATATAGTCATCCAACAATAGATATCTTCCTTGATCTCAAGGTGGGGTTCTGTGGGTGTAGAATCTTTTTAGAATGTTTTGTTTTTTGGAAAATCCCTCCATGTATATATATTTGTGTTATGATATGACTGACTCTTTCGGTTGACATTTTGGTACTCTATTTGATTCCATTTTGAGATTTTATCATTGTATATTGTTATTATTTCTATATTTTGCACTTATATTGAAGTTTTCATGTTTGCTTCTGAACTATACATATGTTGTTTAAATTTGATATTTAATATGGCTACAGCCATATTTGGATTCGATACCGTAGCAGTACGAACTGGTAGAAATTATTCTGCCAGAAACGGATACCCACCGCGGTAAATTGGATTTGGAAGGTGTAATATTGTTGGGTAATTGTCTCTATTTCTATTTTATATTAAATAAAAACCGTTTTCTCCCAGAATTATTGTGTTTTGGTATTGGATCTGGGAAATCGCGTAGCAACCTGCACCTATTGCAAACGGAGTGAACTGCTGGGGTAGAAAATCCTAAATTTTACCAGAACAAATTTATAGCAGTCTTAAATTGCTTTTACGTAGATGAAAGCGTTAACTTATCTACAATGCCAGAAAATTCTGTTTTGAAACATGTTCAATGTGATATGATTTTTTTCACCTGAAAACATTTTCTTAATGTATTATATCTTGTTACTTACAAATATTCAGTAGTTAATGTCATTATTGATCATTTTTGAGCATCAATTGCATGTCGGCCTGCATTATCAAATCGATTTATTTGACTAGTTTTGTATGAACTTGTATTACATTCAGTTTATGTATGTGACAGCAATTTGTAGGTTTTTTGACATTTTTACGTTTAATCTATTCATTAAACATATTTTTATATGGTATCAGTCGATATAATTTGATGTTCTCAGCTCTGATTTCAATAGTTATATCCAAGGATGTGATTGTCAGACCTATCGGCTCTTATACACCAGCATAATTCTTATATCACTATTGTATTCAACATAATTGTCCTGACTGTACAATGACGCGTAACAGCATTAGACACCTCAAAAATGTATCGTTTACATAGTCAGCAATAATGATGCCACATTTCGAACGTGTTTGAATAAATAACAGTTACCCATTGGATTGAATCTGCCCAAGAGCATCACAGTTAGATCTTACTGACGAGTGCAAAATAGCAAGGAACCTAAGTTACGTGGTGTTCCCTAACTACTACGCCAATGCTCTTTCAATCACCACAACCCTACAGTAAAAAAGTATAAGATTAATGATTGTCAGGTGATCAGTTCATTTTTATCTATGACCTCAAATTCATAAACTGATTTTTGTTTTTTCTAAAAATAAACAAGCGATAATTTAAGAAGAATAAAGATGATAATAATAAACAAACTTGAAAATTTTCTACTATTCTATCATTAGTAACTGATTTCGGCACAACAATAATATCACGTTGAATTAAATAACGTAATAAAATTTGTGCTGGTGTTTTGTTGTGTTTTTCTGCCATGGCCATTATCCATGGTGCAGTGAGTAAATTTGCTGATAAACTAGAAAGAATTGAAAACAAAAAAATTAGGAATTTTTTAATCTTAAATTTGTATTTTTTGTATGAAATTTTTTGAGTGTTTCATGAGATTTGAAAATCAAGTATTGAAAGCTATTACGAGTTCACCTGACTCGGTGAACGGAACGACGATCAGTGATTCAGCGACACGATAGGCTACTCTGATCCGATCATCCCAGGCCCAACTAACTAATCAGTCAGACAGTCAGTCAGTCAGATGTAACGTAGAACTTCGTACATAAGTACATCAGTTCATGTCGCCATACCACATTAGCACACAGATATAATTGTCAATTCAAATCCAATAGTAGAAGAGGTAGTAAAGGAATTAGAAATAATCGGAGAGGTTACGATTAGAAGATATTATTCAAGAAGTATGATTCAGTTTAAAAAGACAGAACTAGACAAAAACAAGATTAGGATTTGAGCGAACACAAAGAATAAATGCACCGGCTCCACTGTACACGGTTTTAAGCCATGTCATTCAGGGTTTCTAACCATCGGTTACTTTCGTCTCGCGGACCCCAACCACATAGTCTGCATCTACCAACATCAATCAGTTCACTTGTCAATGACTTCATGGATTTGTGCCATGTTTTGGTCTGGCCGCCCCACTAACTAGAGGAAGAAGTCTTAGTAAGACATAGAAAATGTATTCCACAGGCACCTAGAAAGTAAGAGGTCAACAAGCACACAAATGGAGCTTATTTATACAATAATAAAACGGCTTTGGTCACAGCTACTAAATACTTTCCAAGTTAAATGCCCAGAAAGGAATTCTTTCAGAAAATGTTCTGCCTCCGTGTAATAGCCTGAGTAGTATATCTCTCATAGATCAAATACAAAACTATGTTTTCTAATGAAGAGATAAAAGCTTTCTTTTGGTTGGGGTTTCGTCCCAATCAACACTCGTCAGTAAATAGTACATGTGAGCCTTAAGGAGAATGATAACACTCGTGGAGTTTAGACCTGTATCGTTCAATTTCACAATTCAAAAAATGTTACCACTGAACTATTGAAACATGAATCAGACGTCTTCAGGATTGAAATATGTTCAATGAGTAACTGATTACCGAATAGTGACTAACATTGTTATGTATGTCTAGAGTTTTTTACTGCTGAATACATTTTATCGATCAAGTATTGCAAATAACTTAACAGTAAATTCTCAAGGTTGTGAAGTTGGATAGCGCGAGTTCAAATCCTAACCAATAGCATCCGTTCCCTTAAGATTGTAGGTAGACGCAAGTACTAAGTTTCTAAAACACCGTGCAATTTTTAACAATGTATTTATATATATCAACCAATCAACAGCAACGTAGAAATTCATAAGTACATACATCAATTCAAGTTACCATACCACACATAAGCACACAGAGATAAAATTGTCAAATCACAAACATTAACAAACACAATGCACACATGAAAGGAGGATTATGCAATAAACTTTACTTACGGTGAACGAGCAGGTGAACCAAGTGGAGCATAAGCAGTTACAGTTATACCAACCGATTGAGCATATTCAACTAATTTTGTATTAGGAAAATTAGCATGAATCTCCACTTGTAAATTTGCTGGTTTAATAAGACAATGTTTGAGAATAGTTTTAATTGGTCGTTTATTGAAGTTCGAAAGACCAATTGATTTGACTAAACCTTCATCAACCAGGTTTTCCATTGCCTTAAGGAATAAGGAGAATACGATATAATCATGACAATTATAATAACTCCGCCTGGAGCCCCTCTGAGGTTACTGCCGGTCGAAAACCCGGATAAAGGAAAAGAGTTGAGTGTGGAGTTAGCAACGCCATCCTTCAGAAAATTAACTCACAGAAAAAAAAAACGCTAACCAGCAAAAAAAACAATTTAAACCACTTAAAATCTTCATTCAGAAGAGTTACATTGTCTCATAATGAAAGCCAAATTCCCTCGGAAGTTATGAGGCCGATGCCCCTTCTAACGACAACAATAGACAGACATATAGATACAATGAAGAACTTCGTACGTAAGTACATCAGTTCAGGTTGCCATGCCCCATCAGCACACAGACGTAACTGTCAGTTCAAATCCAACAGTGATAGTGATAGTAGAAGTATCACTGGTAATGAAGAAGACTAGGGAGCAAGGATATGATTCGAAAAGTATAATTCAGTAAGATAAATTTAGAAGGAGTAAGGTTTGAGATTATGGGGAATTCAGAAGGTTAGAATTAGAGAGAACACAGACAGTGGGTGCACCTGCGCCATTGCAGACGATTCTGAGCCATGTCGTTCAACATCCCTAACCATCGGTGACTATCGTCTCGCAGACCCCAACCAAGTAGCCTACATCTACCAACATGACTCAGTCCACTTGTCAGTGACTTCATGTATTTCTACCAATTTGAGCTTATGTAAAATGTCGATAAGGCATGTGATTTCAGTTGATGTATCTACCAAAACATTGATGACCTAATCAGTATAAAAATCAAGATTATTATCAATGTTAACAAAATGGCGATTGAAACATTACAGTAAAACAATGAATTTCATTATGCAATTAGAAGTTGTTAGGTGCAATGGATCCTCACAACCCATTTGGAAAGAGTCCTAATTTTGGATATTTTTTATGTTTTCGCGCATAAGTCGGTCAGTTGACTTTCAGCTCATATTTCCCACTTGGAAAATCCTTGACTGTCATTGGTTGTTGATGGATTATTTTAGTACTCTATTTTTATGGCTCTCCTAAGGGCGTTGCTATCATTGTATAAATAAGATTGATTTGTGTACCTAATAATAACATCGTATCTTCTGGGTGGTTGGTTGTACAATACATTGTAGTGCCTCCACATATATTCGAGTTCGCTTACATTTAATTTGGTTAAGCCCTTTCGATTAATTTATTTAACCAAGCCATTTGTATAGCAACAATTTATATGTACCATTCGTTCTTATTATTGTCTGGTTTGTATAAGCTCACATGATGTGTCCCACTTGTTATGTGACCTTGTCAACTATCCGTCGCTTTTATTCATGTGTGCCTATTTCGCTTGTTGCATGTCTGTCTTATATTTGCCTGACTATATATTCTTATACATTTTTGAAACCATGAATCGATCAATGTTAGACCAGCATTAGAAACCTGGAAGCACTGAAAGACGGTCGTTTCGTCCTGGTATAGGACTCCTCAGCAGCCCGCACCCACGACTCCTGCACCCCGCGGGATTCGATCGCAGGACCTTCGGTATTGTAGGCGAACGCCCTAACCGTTAGACCACTGAGCCGGTATCTAACGTTGTTAAAGTCTAACTTGATCAAATTCACGGAGTTGCGCAACCTCATATACAGTCTTCGGTAGACACTGTCTACACCCGAACAGGTTGAACTTCACTGGTCACGTCTTCCCACTAGAACTCGGAGAAGATTCCTCACGAAGCTAGTCACTAGTGTATATATTCTTAGTCATGCTCTATTTATTTGAGTTGGCTCTTAGCCTTCTTCTCCAACGCGTTTCACCTATTCGTTCGCTTCCTTCGCTCATTCTTTCGCAGCTTTTCAACTTCGCTATTTAATGTGTCCAAAATATAAACGTATTCATTACTTCGAATTCGCATTCTGATTTATAACCGTCAGACGCCATTTACTTACGATTGTCAGAACGAGCTAATTACGAAGCATAAGAACACGTAGAAATTGGCCACCACAACATCTTGCTATAGTTAACCGGGGCTGGAACAACGGAATAGAATAGCCTACTGCGTCACTGAGTCATTGCTTCATTCATTCAGATGTCCGAGTCTAAAATAAGACGAAATGCAGGTCGTGGATTTCACTGCTAGTCACTATTTCCGCTCAAGATACAAAAAGGTCAGTTTAATATGCGATGATTACTTGTCAGTTAAGCTTGTAACTATCAGTATTATAACATAAGAGGACCTTGATTCTATCAAAACATCCATTCCTTATTAATTCAGTTTAATCATGTGAGTTTCATCAACGGAACTTAGCAAAGAAAAAAAAGCCCAACCTGTTAAGTAGTATAATGGAAAATGATAGTCGACTTTGTGATCATTAATAATTTACTCGAATTTACGATAGAGATTGGCTAACCGTTTCTAATCTGAAGAGTTTGTCATTGTAAGAATGAAAAAAACAGTTCCTAATCAATTCTGCGGACCTAACTGAATTTACGTATTTCCTCTGGAGGGTATATGTTGCTCAACAGTTTACCATGTGATAGATTATCGATGCTTTACTAAAATTTATCTGGTTTCTGTATCTTAAAACTGTTGAGCCTCTTAGTAAAATAAACAAATCACCTTTTCAAAAACATGACTGTCTCCAAAATAGATCCGGTACTTAATAATATTCATGAAAACAAAGTTTGTTGTAGTTCAGTCTGTTTCTCTAAAAGGGTTGACTGCTACATTACAGGATAGGGTAAAAAAGTACTGAAACGCAGGAATGGATTAAACTAACTCATATATCCATTCAACAGATCGTTTGAAGCTACATCGGACATCGTTAAGATCATTAAAGAGATAAAAAAAAAGAACCAGAAAAGTGTGAAAATCACTGCTCAGTGGTTGAAAACTACTATAGTTGAGTCAAGATGCACACAAATCCGTTCACCTGAACACTACAACTATAACTTTCAATATTTATTAAGAGTTTAATTGTTAAACAAACAAACTACTACGAAAGATTATTGGATAAATGAGCTCCTACGTCAATCAGGTGGCAAAGAGCTCTTTTGTGAAAAAAATGACAGTTTTAATCTTTGCACAAAAAAGTGTGATCTTTGCTGGACTGAAACTGGTGCATGAACTCCCACTAGATATCATGCTTGAGACAGCTACTACGTATAGGTAGACATCATTAATCTCGGCAAAATGTCCACTGACATATGAGTAATGTATAAAACTATAAAATATAACATCACCCATTGATTATGACAGTACTGTCTCTAAGTGGCCATGCGTTTCGATTCCAATTCGCGCACAGGTCGTAGTTGTTTGCGTAAATGAGCCCCGATCCACTTGTTACTTTTTGTTTTGAAGCAGATTTTCAATGTTTAGTATATCACTAACAATGAAACAAATATTTCACTAATAGATTCCTAAAAAAGCTACTACAAATAGTCTATTTATCCACACATTATGCGTTCTATCCACTCTTGGATTAACCTTTGAATCGAATGCGGTGTACCCAACTAATTTAACATTTTAAAACAAACACCAAAACTTATTTTACCATACGTACAAAAAATATTAACAAGAAAGATATCATACTAAACTAGCCCACGAGAATCCAATGTAGTGTGTTTCAGTTGTAGAAATTTGTGAAGTTTTATTTAGGGGGATGCCAAGTGGTACTTCTGGAAGATTTTGAAACACACAAACCCAATGTGTGTTGATAGTTTTTTAAGGAACCGTTGTGCAGGGGGTCTCAGCGAGCGGGCGTCACACCAGGGGTAAGTGTACGTCATATGAATGTCAAGAGAGCATGAATTATCACCCCACATATCTCATGACATACATATAAGTATACTTGTCTTAGAGGTCATTTAAACGTTACAAGCATAACACATGAGTTCCCAATCATGCATCCTTCGGTAAACACATACGTACAACTTCCTCCCTTGAGAGGAGAGATGGTCGCCAATCTCATGAACGTCTTCGCTGACCAGATCTCCTTTTAATTCGTTACATTCTTTTCACTGATACTCAAGCTTTTGCCTAAACACTTTATGACATACACATAGGCACAAACACTCAATCCAATCACTCAACCAATTTCTCATTCACAGACTAGAATCGCTTTATTAATTTACACCTCACTCAATTGTTTTCTAGGGCAGACTGTCCAGTTAACCCTTCTTATGAGTAAGCCCACAGACATATTCTTTACACATAAATGATACAGACCACAGCCCACAGAATTGATATATATATTCGTAAACATACACATCAGGTAGTCAGTCGTCCAAGAAGGTTTTAGTTTACAAGTCCTGATGCCGCTCAAAATCAGTTGTGGCGTTGGAAGTGGTGAATATATGATTTCAAGTTGCTGGTGAAACTTTCGAATTTTATCCAACAAAAGAATACGAAAATCAAAAATATACACAATCAAACGTTTTGGCAAATCTGTCGTCACCGTAGTTAACGACAGATCAAAGTTTAGATGAAGAAGAAGGAAAAAAGATAAAAACTTGAAATGAATAACAAGATTTTATTTATTATTGAACAAAAACAGACGACATACACATATGCAGAAACATATCAAACCAAATAATAACGTGATTAGAAATGTAATCAACTCAAATTCTCTATTCCACAGACTGACTAGCCGCCGTTCATTCGGATGAATATATATATATATATATATATATATATATATATATATCTTCAATACTCGTCTTTGAATGGATATTCAGGATGATCGGCCATTCTATAGAATTTAGAAAACAGAAAAGAAAAGATATCACCACCACAGTGTATTTTATCTATTCAATGGTCAAGTAAAAACACTGTATACCATAGGGAGTTTTAAGTTCATTCTATTGGATTTTTTTAGCTGCTGAAAAAAATTTACAACAACTTCGGTGGATAACTGCAGTGGTGTTTTATTCTCTGAGCTGAATGTTCTTGAGTTATGGAGCTTTCTGAACATAACATCATCATCATCAGCTTCAGATGTAGAAGAAATGAAGTATTCGAATTTCTACACATTTGACCCATAGGTTGTTCTGTTGCTGTGGACACAGGATCGACATAGTAACAAAACAACAGATCAAAAGGGGGATACAATCAACATAATGGTGTAAACATCGACAGGTTTAAGGTTGTTACTCCTGCACGTATACACGTCAACTTGATATACTTGAACTATTACGAATTTACCTAGGTCGGAAACGCGAGAGCGAGGATCGAGGATTCAGCGACACGACATGCTACTCAAATCCGATTATCCCAACACCCATATTGAGAAAAAGTAAGAAGACTTGAATGTGAAGTAGAACCTGTATTCTACAAGCATCCAGAAAGTACGAGGTTCGAATCCAGAGGAGAGTCACGATCCCGAACTAGGGATCCGGGACCGGGTCCTGCTCCTGATCCTGGTCATAAAACGTTACAAATCATGCGTATTTATACATTTCGGTCGAATAGGAAACAGCATCGAAGTCTGTGACACTGACAGTTTAGACGACCAATAGGAAGCAACATTTGAAGTGACATTGATAGTCTGGAAAACCAATACGTAACAACAACATTGGAGCACGTGACACTGAATCTAGGACGACCATAAACTTGACCAGTAGGAATTCACCGATAATTCTTACATCAATCAATCAAGCTCGAGGTTAACAGTCAGTCAGTCAGTCAGATGCAACGTAGAACTTTGTACATAAGTACATCAGTTCATGTTGCCATACCACATCAGCACAGAGAAGTAATCGTCAATTCAAATCCAATAGTAGAAGAGGTAGTAAGGGAATTAGAAATAATCGGAGAGGTTAGGATTAGAAGATATTATTCAAGAAGTATGATTCAGTGAGATAAGTTTAGAGAGTCGAAACTAGAGGTGTTGAAGAATCCAAAAAGATTAGCATTTGAGAGAACACAGAGAATAAATGCACCGGCGCCATTGCGAACGATTTTGAGCCATGTCATTCAAGGTCTCTAACCATCGGTTATTATCATCTCGCTGACCCCAACCAGGTAGTCGACAATTACCAACATGGCTCAGTCCACTAGTCAATGACTTCATGGATTTCTGCCATGTTTTGGTTTGGCCGCCTCTAACAGGACCACAAGCTACGGATCAAACGTGAAGAAATTTGAATACTTCACTTCGTCTACATCTGAAGTTTGTGCTGATGATGATGTTGTTCAGTAGAAAAACAATGACACTTCCACAACTAAAACATCCAACTCAGAGAACGAAATACCACTACAGTAATTGTATAAAATAATATACAAGAACTTAATAAAGATATGTGTGTGACTTGGTGAAATGGTGAAAAAAAACTACTGTTTGAGCGTACAGATTTAAACAAACTGTAGAAAACTACGGAAAATTCAACTGATAATCAATCAACCTTGGACATATTGTAAAATACTTGTAAGTAGTTGGATTCCGGCAGCTGCTAAACACTTGGTTGATTTTCGCCAAAAATCTCCACACAGGTTTAGGCAAAAATAACATTAGAAGCTGGTGAATAGAAATAAATTAATATATCACAATATGAGTGTCAGTTAAAGAACCTCGGACAACCAGCATCTGCAGCGATGCTGCCTTCTCACAAGGAAGGAAGGGGTTAGAAACGGTCGACGCTAGAAATGTCACACCTTACCTAACCTCACGGACTTCCGTTCCTGCTAGTAAGACCTTTTAAACGAGAATAGAGTCAACACTATACAAACTTTCCATAAAAAGGCCGTACGTGACCGGGTTCTGCGGTCACGCTCCCAAAGCGCTTAAACCATAATCAGAAACGATCAACATCTTAAAATACCAGTTAGTAAGTGAATTTATGTTATTTTATTGGGAATCAACTGTATTGATATGAAACTATTCAGTATTAAAGACCATAAGAATTACATTTTACAAGAGTCAAGCAGTCAACAATAAACTGACGGATAACCGTATCCACTAAGCAATGCAGTTGTTCAAAAAAAGGGCACTAGATACGGATGGCAAATCAATTGGTGAAGTAGTGAATCTTCATCGGTTGAAGTGGTTGGGATATGTTTTACGTAACCACCGGCTGCCTCGACGAGTGAAGTGAAGTCATTGACCATTGGACTAAACTATGTTATTAAGTGTATACTCCTACCTGATCGGCGTCCTCGACACAATAGTAATCGATCGTTAGAGACCTTGAATGACATGACTCAAAATCGTTTGCAAATGGCGCAGCTGTATTCATTCTTTGTGTTCTCTCCAATATTAATCTTCTGAATTCCTTATCATCTCTGTTTTTCGCTTCCTAAAGTTATCACCCTGAACTATACTACTATTACTACTACTACTATACGGCACGGTACGGAACATTTAGTGATGAGCATAGACAATTTGGTATCTTGACTCGCTCACTACACCTTCGAACCCTAATCTTCTTCATCCCCGCTAATACTTCTACTAACTTCATCATTATGGGATTTGAATTGACAACTCAATCTCTCTTTTTACTAATGTGATGGTATGACAACTTGAACTGATATAAGTAGAAGTACGAAGTCCTGCGTTGTTACTGGTTGACTTACTAAATAACGGATAACAGTGATTAAAACTAATTTGAATTGACATTTGAAATAATTCACAAAAAAAAGTTTACGATTTATAAATCAAAACATGAACGAACTTACTTCAATAATTTGAATTGACGTTCATTTAATCCTTTCGTGTGTAAATCATGCATTTCCTCTTTTGACAATTGAAAATCCATCACCTTCAATGAAGAATAACAAAAACAAGAAGAAAGATTATTATTTAAAGAATTTGAAAACAATTCGAGAAAACCCGTCTGGTTTTCGACCTGGACGTGGTTGCATAGACCACATCTTCACACTCAGACAGGTCCTGGAACATAGACACACATTTAGGCGTCCTACAATAGTTGTTTACCTAGACCTTAAGGCGGCATTTGACTCTGTGGATCGTGAGGTTCTGTGGCAGTGTCTGTCATTGAAAGGTGTACCAAAGAAGTACATTAACCTTATACAAGCTCTTTACTCGAACACTACAGGTCGAGTGAGGGCTTATGGCGAACTGTCACCGGAATTCTCTACTTCAAGTGGTGTCCGTCAGGCATGTCCACTCTCTCCATTTTTGTTTAATTTTATCATAGACATGCTCCTAGACATAACATTATCCTCGTCTGAATTTTCTGGAGTAGACCTTCTACCAGGTGGCTCGCTTATTGACTTAGAATATGCCGATGACATAGTCCTACTTGGTAAAAACGCTGTCAAAATGCAGTCTTCTGACTACCCTAAGCAACAATGCAAGCATGTTCGGGATGCGGTTTTCCCCCTCGAAATGCGAAATGTTGCTTCAAGACTGGGTTGCATCGGCACCTGAACTAGTGATAGGGAGTGAAGTAGTCGAGCGTGTAGACCGCTTCACTTATCTGGGGAGTCTCATCAGTGCCGATGGCCTGGTGACTGACGAAATCTCGGCACGGATACAGAAGGCTCGATTGGCTTTTGCCAACCTGGGTCACTTATGGAGTAGGCGTGATATCCGTTCTCTAATCAAACGACGAGTGTACTGTGCGGCAGTTCGCTCCGTTCTCCTATATGGCTGTGAAACATGGCCAATGAGAGTAGAAGATACTCGTCGGTTATTAGTCCTCGATCATCGGTGTCTCCGAAGCATTGCTCGTATACCGTGGGACAACCGAGTAAGCAATGCTTTCGTTAGGGAACCAGTACTAGGCAAGGATGGCAGATCAATCGATGAAGTGGTGAAACTTCATCGGTTGAGGTGGTTGGGACACGTGTTGCGTATGCCTAACCACCGACTGCCTCGTCGAGCTTTGTTTTGTGGTGTAGGAATAGGTTGGAAGAAAGTTAGGGGCGGCCAGACCAAAACATGGCAGAAATCCATGAAGTCACTGACAAGTGGACTGAGCCATTTCGGTAGTTGTCGACTTCCTCGTTGGGGTCCGCGAGATGATAATAATCGATGGTTAGAGACCTTGAATGACATGGCTCAAAATCGTTCGCAATGGCGCCGGTGCATTTATCCTTTGTGTTCTCTCAAATCCTAACCTTCTGGATTCTTCAACACCTCTAGTTTCGACTCTCTAAACTTTTCTCACTGAATCATACTCCTTGAATAGTATCTTCTAACCCTAACCTCTTCGATTACTTCTAATTCCCTTACTACCTCTACTACTATTGGATTTGAATTGACAATTATATCTCTGTGCTGATGTGGTATGGCAACATGAACTGATGTACTTACGTAGGAAGTTCTACGTTGGATCTGACTGACTGACTGATTGTCAACCAGATCCTACCACATGAACACAATGTACTATTTATGACAGTGGAGTGATTATGGCTGGTTTTCGACTAGGACGTGGATGAATTGACTAAGTATTCACACTACCTCAGGTCTTAGAACAGAGATACACGTTCGGACACCCCAAAATAGTAGCATTTCTCGACCTTAAGGCGGCATTTGACTCTATGGATCGTGAGGTTAAAAGATGTACCAAAGAAGTACACTAACCTTATACACGCACTCTACTCGAACACCACAAGTCGAGTGAGAGCTAATGGCAAACTGTCATCGGAATTCTTTACTTCAAACAGTGTCTGTCAGGGCATTCCACTCTCCCTCATTCTGACATTAGATTATAATGAAGCAAAGTTATCATTGAGTAGTATGATAACACTAGACGAAAATAATATTATCTCTCTCTCTCTCTAGGATAATTTCAAAAAATGAACATTTGTTGTGTGTGTGAAAATAACATAAACTAAACTAAGTCACGTTGGTAGGTGTAGACTATTACCACCTGTTTGAGGTCGACGAGACTATCGTAACAGGTAGTTGGAGACTCTGAGTGGTGTGGCTCAAAATTGTTTGCAATGGCGCAGGTGCAGAGATTCTTTGCTTCTTCTGTCAAATTCTTCATGACCATTTCGTTTTTGTTTCTCTTTTAAAGTTTATTCTACTAAATTATACTTCTTGAATCATATCTTCAAACCTTAATCTTCCCGACTGTTGCTCATACACTTCTACTACCTCTACTACAATGAGATTTGAATTGACGACTGTATCTCTGTATGCTTATATTAGTTTGGTAAACTAAAATGATGTAGGTGCGTTGTACGACGTTATAACAAACAATCAATAAAAAAAGGTGACCTGAGCTTAAGGTGAATCAAAATAGGTTATTAGTTGAATGATGCACAACATGTTAAATTAGTTGATGTAATTTTTTTCATGAAACATGAAATTGAAACAAAGGAAAAGGTCAAGACCGAAAAGCAAAACTGTTTATTGACAGATAACGGTCAAATTTTATGACATAAATGTAGTATCTATCTGATAAGTATTAGAAAAACAGACATTCTATTCACAATTAAATCTAGATATTAGTGGACTCACATGCACCAACACACACACACACCGGTTAACCTCTTTCTTCAACGTCAAATAAACGTGAGTAATTTTTTTTTTAGGTCAGAGAGATTTACTGATCCATAAAGAGTATTGTTAATAGATTAGATGAAATATTTCCACATTAATGTAAACCAGTCATACCTGAAAGTTTTCTTCGATTCTCTTCGGTGTAACAGATTTCGGAACTACTATCAAATTTCGTTGGATTAAATAACGCAACAGAACTTGAGCTGCTGTTTTACCATGATGCTTAGCAATGTCTAAAACCCTAGGTTCTGTAAGTAGATCAACTTTTCCCCTATAAAAGAAAGTAGAAAAATTAATTGCATGAAGGGGTAGGCAAATTGTTCAGGAATAACGAAAATACATCATGACAAATCGATTGTTAGAGATCTTGAATGATATGGCGCATGTGCATTCAGTTTTTTGTGTTCTCTCGAATCCTAACCTTCGGCGTTCCTCATCACCTTTATTTCACTAGATTCTACTTCATGGATAATATCGTCGAACACTAATCTCTCCGATTATTGCTCACAATTTCTACTACCTGTACTACTACCGTGGGATTTGAATTGACAATTACATCCCTGTGTTTTATGGCAACATGAGCTGATCTACGTACGTACGTACGTACGAAGTTCCACTTTGCTGTTAATTGACTGATGGATATCTCTATGAAGGTTTGTATTCTAATCGGTCAACCAGTCTTTCGTACTTAATACAGTATAACATCAACATCTACTACAGGCAGATATGGCGGCAGTGACTAGTAGTGGAATCCATCATGTGCGTTTTGTCCTATTTCAGACTCGTTAGCTGTATGCGAACGTTAATCCCAGGGATAATAATAATATCGTCAAACCTTAATCTCTCCGATTACTGCTAATACTTCTACTACCTCTACCTCTTCTACTCTGTGCTCATTTGGTATGGCAACTTGAACTGATGGACGTACGTACAAAGCTCTACGTTGTAACTGACTAACCGAATCTTTTTATGTTAAAAATAACTACGAAATGTAATACAAGGTAAAACCGACGACATCCAACATGCTTTTTACACGAGAGAAAGAGAAAGACAGAGTAAGAAACACTGAATCACTCGAAACTCACGGTGAAGCAGCCGGTGAGCCAAGTGGAGCATAAGCAGTCACAGTTATACCAACCGATTCAGCATATTCAACTAATTTTGTATTAGGAAAATTAGCATGAATCTCCACTTGTAAATTCGCTGGTTTAATACGACAATGTTTGAGAATATTTTCAATTTGTCGTTTATTGAAATTGGATACACCAATCGATTTGACTAAACCATCATCAACGAGTTTTTCCATTTCCTTCAATTAAAAAATAATAACAAGTGAGCATATACATTATTTTAATCAAAAGAAGAAACTTGCTTGAGTTCCAGTCATGAAGGTTGTAAGGTTGTATAAAAACAACTTAGGTTTGAGAAGTTATGGCAGATAATGTTTTGTTGTACATAAAAGCTAATTTATTAAATATAACCTAGTGAGATGTCGTATAGACAGACATGAAGCAACAAAGCGTGTATTCACGTTTTCAGACACACAAATATTATGCAAGGAGTGTAAGTCAGCCACAGCAACGAAACCATTAACAAATGAATTACATATGAACAAAATAATTGCTTAATTTAATGCCCTGTAATGTGTGTGTGTGCGGTGGAAGTGGATAGGACAAACACTACAAAAAGCACCTAACTGCGTCACAAGACAAGCCCTCACATTGAACCCTCAAGGCAAAAGGAAAAGAGGAAGGCCAAGGAACACATTACGCCGACAAATAGAGAAAAATATCGGAGGAATGAACAAACATTGCACAGAACTGGAGAGGGAAGCCCAGGACAGAGTTGGTTGGAGAAAACTGGTGGGCGGCCTATGCTCCATTGGGGGTAACAGGCGTAAGTATGTATGTATGTGTACTCTTATGTCAAGCCCACAGAGGGCTTGTTCTTAGCCTTCGGATAAATTAACTATAATCCACTCTATCCGAGTTACATATTCACTTGTCTTTTGACCTTGTTCATCATTTACTCATACCTTGGTTGTTTCTATTAGAGTATTTTTGTTGTGACTCTGGTAAATGCTTGGTTATGTCTCATTACATTGAGTTGACTAGCTCAACTTCTCCAATTCGCGCTTCACTTTGCTTGTATGCTTTACATTTCTATGTTTCTCAGCACAAACGATTGCCTGTAATAAATTCATTCAACCGAATACGCATTTGGCATAGAATTACCGCAATCGCACAAACGAGATTCGCCCAAGTATAATACATTTGGAAACTGAAAGGAAGATTTATTTCACATAATACTCAAACGTTTCTTAAATAAAGAATTCAGTGCACGGGCCACTAAAACCCAATATACCAAGAAGTGGAACGATGACTTGGTGTTTCACCCATCAAGTTCTTGGTTCGAACTTCGCTTAGCCTACACACTGGTTAGGCCAAATGAATAGTTAACCATCATTTTCATCTAAAAATTATCGACTAATATGAAAAAAGTAAGTTTTAGAAGTCGCAACACTCATTACTAACCTAGATGACAAAATCAGTTCATTTCATTAACATATATGGTGGGTGCTGTTTACTCGTATTCTTTCATATAAAACAGCCTAATGAAGTAAGGTTTGTACATCAAGTAACAAAGTACTTTTTTACAAGACTAACATAAAAACTCAATATAAGCAACATAAATCAGCAGGAGTTCGATTAAAACTTGAAACGCACCATGACAATAGATTCGATTCAAACTCTAAGCGCAAGGACTGCTGATCCTGCCTAGTTTTTCAAACAGTAAATAACAACGATGAATGAAATTGCTGACTTCTTTTAAAATAATCTACACCGCGATAATGTAAACTATTGGTTGAAGATCTTAAATGTTTCAAGGTCTATGGATAGTAGAAATACATTTTAGCAATTTACAAAAAACCATGTGGTAGACTCTAGGTAGTTGTACTTCAAATTAAATCGGTTATCGAAGTATCAGTTACTACACGTATTTAAAATTTGCTTTACTTTATCCTGAGCCTAAAAACTCAGTATTATCATATTTCAATGTACTTTATTCGTGTTCACTTGGTTTCCCCGCACCTATTACACTTCATTTAGATTTAGTTTCAATTATTACATTTCTTTATTAATAAGTCGCGTGAAAATGTTGATAGTGAAGACTGATACAATATTCAATGAAAAGTGCTACGTTAATTTTCGTTCATACAACGCCAGTCGATGTACACAGCTACTGATTATCGATACTTTACAGCCAGTCATTACCTACCTATCTACCTACACTTACGTGGTGTGGGGTCTTGTACACAGTTGCAATAACGGACTCGATTTACCTTAGGATTTTGATGAGCCAAAACAACAGTTAAACACTTCTAGTTAATTAGGCTTTTAAACTTTCTCTACACCACATACTTTAATACCGTTAGTGATCTTTACCCACTGATTAACAACCAACACATGGACCAATAGAGTCGAAAAGTAAGTAAAACTTGCTGAGAAACTAAAGATTTGTACCACGCGAAGCATTTTAACCACAAACAACTCAACTTTTATAAAGCCTTTTCAGTGAATAAAAAAGCGGTCCGTAAAATCAACAAAATTCTCCAAACAGTTTCAAACATGAGTAAGTACTCTGCATCGTTCAATCCTAATGATTATTCTACAAGAATAACTCATCATGAAGGTTACAAAGTAACTACATCGACAGGAAGAAGAAACTAGAAGAAACTAAGATCAGCACAGAAACCCGCAGAGATTCACCTTAGGACAGCACTAACGCAAGTTGTAAATCTATTATCCAACCAACTTATAAACAACTTAATAGGATATTATTCCTTGCGTATTGATCAACTATCTCGAAGATAAATTATATTGCAGAATCTTTTTATAAAACGAATAGTAAATAACTATTCCGAAATTAAAGTCACCTCAAAACACTCAACTTATTATTTTACTGAAATATACAGAGAATACATGACTTATTTCATGATTCATATATCAGCAAAACAAAAGTTTAACCGCCCTCACTGCAACATAAGTAAGAGGAGACACTAATTATAACGGTTAGCGCTACGCCTTCAAAAACAAAGTGAAAAAATACACAGAAATTTTTAGTACTGACATACCTTCCAAGTTTCTTCATGTGGTACTTTGTCTAAACACCACTTTCCATTCGAATCAGTTGGAAAAAGAGGTTCACCATACTATTAAATAAAAATTAATGTCAAGAAATCACACAATCTTTACTTGAAATGCAACAGGCCAGTGAATCAAGTACAAGTCAAGATACTTCAGACGTAAATTCTTCAAAGTCACTTCACAGGCTTTCCTAACATTTTCAGGTCGATGGTGAGTATTCCATAGCTAGAAAAGTTTTAATAACATAAAAATGTCAACAGTTACCTTTGAAGTAACAAAAACATCCTCTCTTTTTAATTTTAGACTATGTAAAGCATCTTCTAATGCTTCACCGATCTCTGCTTCATTTTTATAAACATGAGCACAATCCACATGTCGATAACCAACTTCTAGGGCTTTTTTCACAGCCGCTCCAACTTGCCCTGGAGGACTCTATACAGTTTAAACCAGAAAAAAGAAACATTTTTCTTGCGTACATTCCATGTCCCAAGACCAACAATTGGAATAGAATGACCATTATTCATCTTTATCGATTCCATGATCACACTGAAAGATAAAAGCAATGGATTATTTGATGTCTGTCAATTTATTAAATTGTACTTATGAAATAAACTAAAAAATTGAAACAAACACCTCGGGGCAATGTATAAGTTACAAGCATGAAGATTATATGTAAAATCTATAAAAACGCCTGGACTGATTAGGCTAATAAATCTATCATAATATATACATATATATACACTAAAATAACTGTTTCTACACAAAAAAGTAGGTCATTGCTAAAAGCCTGGAATAACACCATTGATATGGACTACAAATGATTAACGAAATCTAGATGTTTTACTAACCTTTTATCAAACTGCTTCCTTCCTACTGCCAAGGTTTGAAGTGATAGGCTACCAAATTACAAGCAAACCCTAAGCATTTGTTTAGGTTTATGACAATACGGGAAAACACATAAACCAGGGTATTTGTGCTCTCAAAGGTTCGTATGGTGAAGTTCTTACCAACCTAGAGGTAGCTGAGATCTTCAACACCAACTTTATCGATTAGGTAAACCAAGTGCCTACACATTCAGAGTACCATTCAAACTAAGTGCCACTTCACTGCCTAGAGGATATTCGACTTACACTTAACCTAGTACTGAAAAAATTAAAATCGTTGCGTCCCGAAAAGTCACCAGAATGTGACAATAATCGTCTCATAGTCTTTAAAGTGTACAGAATCCCTCAGTTCACCGGTTAGGACCTATTCACGCATTCCCTGGAGTCACACCAACTTCCAGTTGGACAGAAACAAGCTAATCGTTCTCCAATCTTTAGAGAAGATAGAAAGGATCCAGCTTGCTACAGACCAGTTGCATTACTTCCAATAGTCGATGATAATGGAAGGACTGGTTAATGAGAAAATGAGGAAGTACATGGACAAGAACAGAATCCTCCATGGAGCTCAACATGGGTTTCGGAAAGGCAGGCCATGTGCATCCATTCTCATAGTATGTGACATCTGGACAACCTGCTGCGATTAAAAACAACGGTTCACATAGTATTCCTTGAATTCGTGAAAGCCTTCGACACATTACCTCACGTACCCTTACTTGAGAAGTTTGTGAAGATATACTTCACAAATCCAACTCTATCTTCGCTCAGAAACTACCTTGAGAACAGAAAGTCTCGCACCAAAATGCAGAGTGCATGTGAGCTGGCGAGTCTCAACATCAGGAGTTCCCCTGAGGACCACATTAGGTTACGTCCTCTTCATGATATTCATTAATGATCTGTTAGACAAAATTAGCTCAGCAGCACTAATCTATGCAAACGATGCACATGTATGAGGGTCCATAAGGAGCGAAGAGGATTCCTTCGAGTTTCAAAACGACCTTACAAATGTAACGTTTAGTATTTGATAACTTAAAATCTAGTCAGAATATTGCTTGATTAGGTGGGTAAAAAGCACTTTGTGGAAATCTAGGAGACTAAAATAGCATGAAACAAAGTTACCTAACAACTCAGTAGGCTCATAAAATTTATTTACATTTGATAACGAAAGCAATAGATAACATTCTGCAACAGCTCGAGCTTACAGTTAAGAGAGTCTGACAATGGAAACCAGTTGATAGCGCAGAGTTGCGAACACCTTACAATATCCAATACCGTACCAACTTTTACAAACAGATCAACTTTTTCAATATACAATATCTTTTTCACGATTAAGTACAAACAGGTTAACTTCCTATTGAAAGAAAATTCGACTTTGGTGGTATTCTAAAGTTGTTTTGAGGCTTAGATGTTATGTTATTGTAGGAATGCTGTCCTTGTTTTGACAATCCGCGCATTCACATCTGCAACAAATCCACCATGCTCATCAACTTTGTTGCGTACAGGTGCGTCCTAGTTGCCCATTGTATCCCGTGCTACTCTCCAGATGTTGACGTATTCATTATTCAGTCGATCACCAAGCGAAAGAGAAAGGGTGAGAGAAAGCAACTCAGCAGATTTGATAGGGACACATAATACTTTTCATGTTTCCGAAGGCGCACTACTATAAGGACTAAGTCGAGCCGGAGTGCTTAGCTAGAAATTCATAGCTTTTTAGCCAGTGTGTTCATAGTCTGTGTGTAGAAAACGAGTGATTGTTTTGGATCTGTTGTATTTTGCAAGAAACGGTGGGTGCAGACAACTTTTGATGACCACTGTTGGGAAAGTAGCTTTCTGTCAAAAAACACTAACATTTCCTAATATATTTAACGCGTTTCATGGCAGGAAGTGGAACTCTAAAAGAAGTTTTCGGTGCTAACTTAGTTAACGAAACTTCTGGGTGACGAAATAGCATGTGTATGGAATAAAAATAAGACAAATGACTTCACGAAATCAAAGGAGACATATTAGCACTTCGATTCCCATTAGCTAACCATCGAGATGTAGTTTGGAAAGGACTGATATACTCCGTCAGCAGCATTCTTCTAGCTATTACTGACAAAGAAGTTCTTAACTATGGCAGATTAGTAGCCTAATTAGTGGAAATAGTGATAATTCGAACCATCATTCCCGTGACAGAATTGGCTTAGCTATCATGGACAACACCCTGACGCTGTTAGGAGAATAAGATGGTTTATAGAATAGGGAGCTCTATTGCGAATAGTTATTCAAAACGATGGGAAGAGAAAAACCGCTCAGCTAACACCTGACATTGCTGGATGGAGGAATACGTCACATTACATGAGGCACGGCCCATGTGGTTTCATAAACAAAGGAGTTTAAGGGAGGATGTGATGCTAGTCGCGAATGACGTTACTTTTTGGGTCTAATCTATCTAACGATTGTGTGTTTCGGTCATCATGACAGTCAATAAATTTAAGACTTACGGCTGTCAATGGAATATATGCGCCCATATGTAATATATTGGTTTCAGAGGAAGAAGAATTATGAAGGGAGACTAAGCGAGGGCGCTAATGCGATCGTCAGGGTGCAGCAAAGATAATAGATTTACAGAAATTATCTCCCCTGCCAAACGAAGGAATATTGTGTATCGGTGGACGACTAGACTTTCGTTGGAGCATCTAGCGAACTTAACGATCCATTACTTCGTAACGGGGCCGATTATTTGGAAGAAAGACATGGATGTATATTTAGGTCGCTTCAGACGCGTGCTGTCCACCTAGAAGTAGCTTTCAGTCAAAAAGCGGTGACATTAATAATGTTTTTAACACATTTTATAGCAGGAAGTGGAACTCTGAAAGAAATCTTCAGTGCTAGCTTAGTTAAGGAAACCTCTGAATGACTCGCGGCCATTGGTGGTTTGATAATTCGCTCAGTCAGTTACAACGAAGAGCTTCGTAGGTTGAGGCTGCTATACCACATTAGCCTAGAGTGTAATTGGATTTTCTACCGTGGCAGTTCAATTCGATTCCAATAGACGTATGTCGGACGCCCTTCCCAAATTTGCATATAAAAACACAATAATTCCAGTGGAAAATGGTCTATTAATAGATAATGAATGGAAATACAAACAATACCTAACGAATTTTACGCCTTCCAATTCAAAATTACTCTGAATGAGTATCAAGGTTCCGAGGTCTAGGTGAACTCCTATACTGCACGATGTTGAATCCAAAAATGTGGCGGTAGCCATATTATATCAAGTTTAAACAACATATGTACAGTTCAGAAGCAAACATAAAAACTTCAATATAAGTACAAAATATAGAAAGAATAACAATATACAATGATAAATTCTCAAATTGGAATCAAATACAATACCAAAATGTCAACAGAAAGAGTCCGTCATGTCATAACCAAAATATGTAAACATGGAGGGATTTTCCAAAACACAAAACATTCAAAAAGAATTCTACACCGGCCCGCAAAATCCCTCCATGCAAAAAGAGCAAGCGTTAATGACACTTCTATTTAGGGTTCCCCGTTATCCCCTAATCCACACCGGAATAACGTGTAGGACTTACAGCAGTACGCCTACCCGCTATCCAACATGAATATGACCTATCATGCTAACTAGGTACCTATACCTTCCCATCAGGCCCTTGATTCCCCTATCTATCGTGGCATGACCTAACGGTAGTATAAACCTTACCCAATTAACCCACACGAACATGTACAACACGTCGTAAAACTGGTCATATCCTATCCGGGAACTACATTCCCTGTCCTGGGGACGAGTCGCCATTCCACCACCACTTGCTCCGATCAGCAGATACAATGAAGTCCGTGATGCTAACTTATCAACAGAAATTCTTGACCCATATATAATATGCAAGGGTGGGATCTCCAATTTTGACATTTCATCGTCTCCAGAAGACTTTAGGTAGCATAACGTGGGATCAATATTTATCTCTCCATCTCCTGATACAGAGGAGGTTTGATCAGCGTTCGTCATCGTCGGTAACTCATTTGTCACATCAGTGACATCCAGATTATTATCAACGTCATCATGATTCCGTTCTGTCAGACAAGTCGCGTCGATTCGGTCTGCACTAGCATCCGTAGAGTGGAACTCTTCCATTTTTGTATAACTCATATCACTACATGAAAGAACAGCATTAGTATCGCAATTCGAAACTGATATACTCACTTGTTGTTCTTCATGTTCCGTTACAGAGACACAAGACATATGCTCATCAATAGCATCGTCATCACACAACACTGTAGACTGGCTGTTACCATCAAACACTTTCTTCTCATCATCACTCGACTGACAGTCAACCGGAATAGGAACAGTTACAGTTGCACAACCTTGTGCGTCTTCAATCAACTTAACATTCGTGACGAGGTCCGATGACGTCGAAACACTAGGAGGCTCATTCGATGAAGTTGATCGACTAGTCACTATAAGTGGACTGCTCACACTTTCTGTCTCCTTATTATCGCTGTCACTACTAAGGTTCTGATGGCTACTATTTCCATTGCTAGTCATAGCATCCGAAAGAGAATGAGGTTTAGGCTTCTTAATAATAGTAGCATCATGTTGTTTCCTGGGCTCCTTAGCCTTTACAGTACCGCCATCACTTATCCTAGAATTAACTCTAGGTCCCGATATATAATTTACCCTAAATGAAGGGTTCCGAAAATAGGCTTTATTCCGTTCAGACAATCCTGCCTTGGCCTTCTTCATATTTACTGAACTCATTAACCTCTGATTACTCGAATCCAAATAACCGTTCCAGGCTTTTCGAGCAGCTAAGAGGCTTTTATCATCACACACTTCGGATCCATCTTGATGCCTACACTTTTCACCTTTTTCTTTCTTTTCCATACTTAAAAAAGCCATCTTATCTGTTACACCAACCGGCTTCTTACTAGGATACGCATCAAGAAGTTTTACATCGTTACGGTCACATACTCGTCCTTCATCAGCGTATGCTTTCGTGATATAATTGACAAATCTCTTATCTTCCGGGCGTGCGTTAGATAGAAACGAAGAATCCTCATGTCTCGCACGCAGACCACTAGTAGCTTCCGTATTATGTCCTGTTTTAGCCCGATAAGCTAATCTTCCAAACCTACTACTAGCTATCTAAGCGCAAGACATAATAAATTCCGTCAACTCATTGAAATTAGGCTCTCTCTCTTCGTCCCACTTGATTACTAGCTCTGCCCACTGGGCTTGCATTCGACGAGGTAAGAGCCTGACTATTCGTTCTAAAGTAACCAAGGAATGAAGTTCCGTTGTGCAATTTAGCTGTTCTAAAGTTAAAGCAGCATTCTGCATTTTAATCGCCAAATTCGTCAATATTTCAGGATCATTAAAATCTGCGTTCCCGGTTCTAAATAAATCCTCTAAGGTTTCCCGGGCTATTACATGCGACTGTCCAAAGAGCTGTTTTAAGATGGCCTTAGCTCTCTTATATCCTGCTTGTGGATCCATAATAATACAACCTTCAGCCGCATTTTTTGCCCTTCCTTTACAATAATGAATTAAATACAATGAACGCACTTGGTCATCTTTTACTCTTGGTTCTATAAACGTTTCTATTTGGCGCATAAACCTAAAGTAGTCGCAAGACTTTCCATCAAAAAATGAAAGTTCGACCTTAGGTAGTTCTAAACCTACTATCGGTGTCTTAAGTATCTGATCCGTCTCTGGTACCTTAGAACTCTCACTTAATCCTGGTTCCTTAATGCCTGCCAAAGGTGACTTACAATAATCAGTATCAGACATAACATCAGTGTTAACATATGGGTTACCCATAAAAAATTCATCATTAACGACTTGCTTAGCGTTCCGGGATCCGTCGAGCTCTTCCACCCTCCTCGTGTTTGATTTCTTGCGACTTGACATTATAAGTGAAGTTCAACGGAAGATAAATAACAAATACAAAATATAGGAATTCCACAGATAAGTTCAATAAGATATGTCCAAAATCAAAAATTCTTCATCCAAGATAAAATTCGAATACGAAAATACGATAAATAATCCAAAATTCTTCTTTCAAGAAAGTTTAGTGTGATAAACGATTAAATTTCCAAATGTTTCTTTATAATTCTTAATAATCCAACTGTAATTGGTCTTCTAATCAAAGGTGATAGATAATTCCAGAAAATAAATGTTCTTGGGAATAATGCCAGACAGTAAATGGACTGGTTTCCAAAATTCGTTAGACTGTAATTGGATTTTCTACCGTGGCAGTTCAATTCGATTCCAATAGACGTATGTCGGACGCCCTTCCCAAATTTGCATATAAAAACACAATAATTCCAGTGGAAAATGGTCTACTAATAGATAATGAATGGAAATACAAACAATACCTAACGAATTTTACGCCTTCCAATTCAAAATTACTCTGAATGAGTATCAAGGTTCCGAGGTCTAGGTGAACTCCTATACTGCACGATGTTGAATCCAAAAATGTGG